GATGTGGAGAAATAGGAACGCTTTTACATTGTTGGTGGGAGTGTAAATTAGTTCAACCATTGTGGAAGACAGTGTGGTGATTCCTCAAGGATCTAGAACTAGAATTACCATTTGACCCAGCAATCCCATTACTGGGTATATACCCAAAGTATTATAAATCATGCTACTATAGATACATGCACACGTACGTTTACTGCAGCAGTATTCACAATAGCAAAGACTTGGAACCAACCCAAAAGTACAACAATGATAGACTGGATTAAGATAATGTGGCACATATACACCATGGAATACTACGCAGCCATAAATAAATGATGAGTTCATGTCCTTTACAGGGACGTGAATGTAGCTGGAAACCATCATTCTCAGCAAACTATCACAAGGACAGAAAACCAAACACTGCATGTTCTCACTCACAGGTGGGAACTGAACAATGAGATCACTTGGACACAGGGCAGGGAACATCATATACTGGGGCCTGTCGGGGGGCTGGGGGCTGGGGGCTGGGGGAGGGATAGCATTAGGAGAAATACCTAATGTAAATGATGAGTTGATGGGTGCAGCAAACCAACATGGCGCATGCATACCTATCAAACCTGCACATTGTGCAGATGTACCCTAGAACTTAAATTAAAACAAAAACGAACCAAAGATGTTCCCAGAGGACTGAACTCATTCCACTCTAATACAGTCATAAGCACTGCCAACCATGACCAACAACAATAATGGAAGGCAACATATATCTCCTAGTTTTCATCTGCGCACAGCAGGAAGGTGACTGAAAAGCAGGGAAGGAACAGGTCAATATAATCTGACCTGCTTATTTGCTTCTGGGGCCACCTGTTGTCTTAATCTTGGTGTGAACCCTAATCTCCAACTACATGTTAGGATTTTGTTTTGTGTGTCAACTGCCCACCTGGATTCTTAAACAACAGTTTCATTTGACACTCTACTCCAACCATTATTCTGCTTTGGTCTTCCTGTCTGGCCTCAGTGGCTGAATGCCACCCTTGTCTTTCAATTTGGACAGGGATGTTTGGTTCCTAACTTTGTCCCCTAGACTTCTCTGGACACATGGCAACATCTTTTCAAACAGCTCTGTCTATGGTATGGTTAACTCTTGTGATTGATCATCAAATTGATGCTTCTCTGATATTATCTGAAGACTCCTATTTATGTCACCCATCTCTCAGCTGTTTTGAAAACTGAGAAACAGAGCTGTTGATTCAAAGAAATGAAGACTCAGGCTCTGGTATAAGCTGCCTCTCACCTCCATCAAGTTCTGCTTGCTCTAGATTGTTCTAAAGACAGAGACAGATTATTGACAAATCAAAAACATTCACTGAAAAATCTAGAGGTGTGGCAATTCTAGATTTCTGAAATTCATCATCCAATTTCTTAATTTAGCCCTACTCATCTTAAAATATCACTACCAATAAATAACATCAGATCTAAACCTAATTCTCCCTCAAAATGTGGGGGGGCGCATGGCAACATATTCAAACTTATGTACATGGCATTTGAGGTCGGGGCATGGAAAAACACTGGGGCACTGTGTGTATGTTATTTGTGCATAAGAATGAAACTCCTTGACCCTGAAAACAGGACAGGGAGCAGTGGGTGTGGTGTGATAAGGAATGCTGAAAACAGCCTCCTGAGAACGCAGTTTGAGCGCTTTTACAAGGTCACGGGTGTCTCACGACCGGACCTCAAAAAAGCCATCTAGTGGATGTTTGTGGTTTAACAAGCCCTTTCAATAAATACTTGGTGGATGGATGCTGGGGCGGGCTCCCCCTCGGCTGGAATTGTCTGAGAACTCATTCTTGGTGTTCAGTGCAAGCTGTAAGCGCTGCATAAAAAGCATGAAAATATTTGAAATTATGTATTTTTAATGTTTTAACAGAAAACATGAGTGGATGGCAAATACTTTATCATTCTTTCCTCCCCACAAAGTAAGCTCATTACTTTGAAACTTATTCAGTAAAAAGTACACTGAATAGAAATATAGTAAGGAAATATTATTCCAAGCAGCAGTGTGTATTATAGAGTATTCTTAGTGACCTCAACAGTCACCATAACCTTTCACAGGAAGTAGAAAATTACCTTGAATTCCAGCACCCAAAGATAATAATGAATAATACTTTTTTTGTCTCTTTCTAGTATTTTTTCTATTAATTAGTATAAAAATATTAAGGCAATTGAATCTGTATCAACCATGAGACAAAAAAACCTTTTAAGAACGCTTGGTATACATGTAAATTTTAAAAACTTGTATCAGTAATATGTAATAATATAAAAAAAAAGACAGGAAGCAGAAAATAGAAAAAAACATTACTCAGACTAAAACACATCTTTTGAGCTTGGCCTACTAAGGGAAGGAAGAGAGGAAAGTCTGGACATACCTTTGATCTTTCGTAGAAATAAAATTTAACAGTTGGATAGGCTCTGATACCAGCTTTCTGGCATGTCTGAGCATAAGCCTGACAGTCTACTTTTCCGGCTTTCACTTTTCCTTTAATCATCTGAAAAAGAAAAATATGGTTTGTCATTTTGTTTGGCATAAACTATTTTGGCAACAACAAAGCAATAGGATATAAAACATTTTGCATCTAAGAATTTATTTAAAAAACTTTAATTCTTCCAACTCAAACAAGATTATTTCCACATTATCCCTTTAAGCCCCTATTCACCTAGCACCACCTCTCCAACAGCAAATAAAACCTCCTTTGCCTTATCAAGAAAACTGAGTGGCTTTATCCTGAAATGTCTCAACTTCCTGCCACCCACAACTGGCACATCATACCATAAATGTGTTTCTGTTTCTTTTTCTCCTTTCGCTGGGGGTGTGCTGTGGTAGGACTCTTTGACGACTGTTTGTCTTGTGAAGGCTGACTACTCCATCTGTATTCTCCAGTCCCTCCCTGTCAGAATGCATATTCTCCAGTGAAGATGTATATAATCATGAAAGGATTCCTTCCTGGATTACAGCTCCTCTGCCATCGTGCTTCTCATGCTCTCTCTTTTTTTCCTGAGCAGCAGTCTACTCTTTCACTGCTTCCCCACTGTCTGCTTATTTGGCAACATTTTAGTCTGGCTTCTGTGCTTACTGCTCCCTCCACTGAAACTGCTGTAAGTTCACCAGTGACCGCTTGACCAAACTGGGCACTTTTTGATCTCATTGGGCAACTGATGTTTACTGCTGACCACTCTTTTTTTTTTTTTTTAAACAACTGGTAATCAATTTATTAAAATAGTTGACTTAAGCATCTACAATGGTGACTTCCACCTCAACTCCTGGCTCAATACTAATGGAAGTAATCTGCTTAACAATCTCAGAAGGACTGTGTGAGGCTGACCACCCCTTTCTTTTCTTATTTCTTTTTTAGCATTTATCACTACTCTCTCTTGGCTTTCTTACCCCTCTGACTGTTCTTCCTTTTTCCAGCATGAGGATCTGCTTTACCTGCCCCTCAAGTTATTAGAGTTCCATCTTTGATCAACAATCTTTTCACTGTGAACAGTTGCCCAGGGTGGTTTTCCGTATCTATATGCTAATGTACCCCAATCACTCTCTTCGATTTCATAGCTAACTACAAACTGGCCTGCTTTGGGTGAATGCTGCATAAGCACCCAAACACAGCATGTCCCCTGAACCCACTCTTCCTCCTGTCCTATTCATTCACTTCAAGCCAGAAATTAGGCTTATCCAGACTCCTCTCTATCCTTCATCTATCACATTCAATACTATTTATTCTCATCTCTCTTTTGTATTTGTCCCCTTCTTTCTATCATCACTGCCCTAATCCTGGTTAAAGTTATCACCTCTCACTTCAGGACAATTAAAACATCTTTGCTGCCTCTAGTTTCGTCCCCAAGGCAGGGGTATACTAATATGCAGACTAACTTGTGTTAGGGCACAAGCATGTAGGCAGACACACACACACACACACACTTGCATACTGAAAGTAAGAAAAATGTAGGAATGTTATTTTCGTAAGTTTCCATGTCATTTACAAAATGTTTGTGTATGTGCTTACTTGTATTTCCAATTACTTATGAGATGGCACCATACTGTTTTTGGTGCTCTAAACATATTTCTCTGGCATCACTGACACTCTTCTGTCCATGTTCCAGCTTCATTCTAATTTTACTGTAGCAACTATCTTGTATTACTTATATTTATTTCCATTTTCTCTTTTCACTAGATTAAAATCTCCTTAAAGACATGGAATTTCTTCCTTTTCATCTTCCTTTTCTTTCATCTGGAGTTATATGGCCCTACTACTTAGCATAATTGCTCTTCACTTGGTACTTAAAATTTGTTGAATGAGTGGTCTTTTTCATGTTTAATAATTTTCTACTAGATATAATACAGAGTTGCACTACAAAGTTTATAATTAAGTACAGTTTTTAGCACATGAGAAATGAAGTAAAACACAATTATTACAGAAGGAAGCATAAGAAGATTAGAATAAATGGAAAGAATAAACCTCTTATCTGATGCACCAGCTAATAACAAAAATAATCTTTCATAGCTAGTAAGACCTTTAAAATCCCTCTGCTAAAAAATTCCCATGGTCTGGGATGCTAAGCTTTAGTGTGAACTGGTGGAACTGGCACTGACTTTCTCATTCTAGTTGAATGTTTTATACCAACACTAGTGGCAAGAGTTCCTTGAGTTATGAAGGCAAGAAAGCTATCAACCTGGATTAGGTCACTAATAAGACTGTTATGACAGAAAGAAACACTAAAAACTCAGACTACATTGAGGGTACATATTCAGTTTAATTTTATATAAGCATTTACTGAGTTAGGCCCTGGGGATATAAAAATAAATAAAACATGGACTTTGCCCTCAGGAAGAGACAGCCATTTTCAAAGGAAGATGGACAATGCTATATCAAAAAAAAAAAACCAAACCAAAACCAACCAACCAACCAAAACCCAAAATTGCTACAACTAAATATTTCCATTAGTATTCAGCTCCTTTTATTTCCGGTCAAATTTAAAATCTTTCAAGTAATAATAAATAAATAATTAATATGCATTGTATCAGTACACTGATAACATATCCAGGTGACAATGATTAACTGAGAAGGGCAGAGAATAGAGCAGTGCCATCAGAGCTAAGTTTTGTAGGAAGAGGAGAAAAAATACAGATGACCAAGGTAAGGACAGAGCATTTTAGAGAGAGGGGGTAGCATGTAAATAAGGATACATGTTCAGAGAACCTGGAGTACTCTGTTATACTGGAATCTACGGTGTGAGGTGGACAATAGAGATAGAGCTCATATCAGATACCTGAAGTCAATGTATGCATATTGAGAAACTTAGTGAGCCAGAGAGGGAAATATATTTTAGAAGATCACCAGGGCAGCACTGACAAAGGTAGACTGACAGTCTTGAACAACAAAGGCTTGAACTGTGTTGAACTGCTTGAACTGGGAATTTTTTTTTTCTAAGCAATTGCAGATGGAAAATATAATATTCATAGGATGTGAAACCCTGCATACAACCCACTGTGAGGCCTGAGCATGAACAGATTTTGGTATGGAATGGGGGTTCCTGGAACCAATCCCCTGAGTATACCAAGGGAAGACTATACTTAAAAGGCAAATATGGTTAAGTCTAGACAACAGATGATAAAGGGTTGAATAAACAGGTTAGCAGCAGAAATGAGTAAGAAATGACATTTGAAAGACATTTAGGAGATAAAACTGACAGAATCTAGTGACTGCCTGGAAGGCAACAGACTACTTGGGTGGGGAAGAGGAAATAGACAAGAGGGAGAAGAAAGAGAAGTTTCTGGCTTTTATGGTTAGTAGATGATGATGTCTACCAAGATAGAGAAGATGTTAGCTAAAAGCTTTAACAAAGAAAGAGGAAATCTACTACAATGATTATAATCATAGAAATATAATAGTTATTTTTAAATTCAGAGGAAACATTTAAGAAAAAAACCTAAAAATTATGTATTTACAATGTTTTATCTAATTACTAAACACGAACGTTGTTACAACTTATTTAAGACAGGTAAGACTTACCCTAGCCAAGAGCTCAAACTCTGGAGCAAAATTCTGGCAAGGTCCACACCAAGGAGCATAGAAATCAATCACCCAGTGATTTTTCCCTTGTAGAACTTTTTCACTGAAAGTCTGAGGTGTTAGATCTGTGGATACTTGAGGTAAAAATCTGTGGCAAAGGATCAAAATCATTTTTCATTATATAAAACCAAAACAAACATCTAAAATGTAGTAATATTGTAATACTTTCTAAGTTAAAAATGATGTCAAGGAATGGCAACGTAATAAAGTACAGTACCATCTTGGTTAATATAATCCTTTACTAAGTAATTTAAAAGGCTAGAACCTTAACCCACAGTAAATTTAACTATTGACATAAAAGGGGGGTAAATAGCTTTGAATCTATTTTATACAATGATATACATTTTAATTACTCACCCTAGACCCCAGATTCTCAGGGAATAAGCATCCCTATTCCAACCATTGTAACTGCTGAGAGAAGAAAAAATGTTAGTTGTAAATAGGATTATCTATTATTGGATGTATTCAGAAAACAATCTTATTGTAGCGATTTAAAAAACAAGTTATACTGATTGATTTCATCTGGCATCTCTCTTCTCAGATATTCCTAGCTACAAATTCTGTTTACAAGGCCTCACAAATGTATTTTTCTCTAGTCTTGGTATCTTTGTGTCCCAGACAGCCCAGAATGTCTAGCTACCTACTGGACATCTCCTGTAGACCTATGGGAACTGCAAAACTCAGAATGTCCACGGTTTTAGTTTCTGAATCTTTATTCAAGTTATTACTGTCTGTTCAATTCCTACCGATTTTTAAAGACACATGTCAAAAACTACCTACAAAATGCAGCCTTTCATAATTTCCTCATAGTTGAGATCCTTTCCTCCCTTGAAATCCATGGTTCAATTTTACTTGTTTAATAACATTCATCATATGTACCTTACATTTGCGTTTTCTACCTGAAATACCACATGGTGTTGTGGAAACAGCATGGGTGCTGAGACAGACTTGGGTTCAAACTCCAGCTTCAACTTAACAACTGTGTGACTTGGGGAATTTATCTAAGCCTTAGATAACTTCTAGACCTTGGATTCTAAGGGCTGAGAATCACAGTTTACTTCTCTGTAATAGTAGGAAGGGCAGTAATTCCTAGTTCACAAAGTATATGTGAGGATTATTGGAAATAAGGTGAGTAAAGTATCTAATATAGTACCTGAAACCAAATAAGGACTTAATAAATGTTAGCTCTTCCTTTCCTTATCTTTTTGTCTAGACTATAAGCTTTATGCACATTGAGACTGTTCAGTACTCTCTTTTCATCTTCTGAAGTGCTCATTAACACACTATCTTTACGTAGTAGGCTCCCAATAAATATTTGTTGGGTTAACTTTTATTTTGTTCAGGTAACTTAACTGTTAAGTGTCTAATTAAATAATTATAATACATGCCTTCAAATATGAGAGAATACTTACTGATACTGATAAGCTTTATTTGATTTTGGGGGAAAAAATCTTATCTCAGGGTATCTTTGAACATTTTCCTGGGCACAAAAAGAATGGTACTGTTGGCAATCTATACTGCCCACATTGATCAGTCCAGTTAATGTCTATAAAAGAAGAAACGGATTACCTCCATCACTTTTTACATATGTTTACAATAAAGAAACAAGCATTATATTATTATAGTGAAATAGTTATTACGTATCAGTGACTTTCACCCAGTAAAAATGGATAAGGGTTTAACATAAAATAGACCACTTATACTAATGAATTTGTGATCTAATTTTGTAATTAAGCACTTACTAAAATTATTGCAGATTAAACAATTTACTTCATTTACCTATTACATGAGAAAAAACTATGTACTTCTAAAATTCAAAGTGCCAGAAACTAATGAAAGTCTTTGCAATATTTCAAAGAATTACTCTTTCCAATGAAAACAAGCATTGTAGGTATCTAATATGTTATACTGACTCACACCTGAACTTAAAAATTGTATTGAAAAGAGCACAAAAATATGTAATCCTAAATGTTAAGATATTAGAAATCACTTTAACTCAGATTTATTTTTTATCTTGTAAATAAATGTGAAGTAGTAATTGCATTTTCCATTCTGGTATTTAAGTAATTTGTTTCCAATCTTGTACAACTTAAAACATGGTGCCTATTTCAGGAAATATTCTAATACACATGCTGAAAGCTTTTTGTTTTCTTACTTTTAAGTCCTACAATATGTGAGGAAATGTTATCTTTAAGCTCTAAAAATAAAGCAGAAAAAAAATTAGAAAAAATTGAAACAAAAAATGAGGTAAAGTTTTGGGTTGTTTTTGGCAACAATTTAGTTAAAAGCACCAGATATACTGGGCACGGTGGCTCATGTTGGTAATCCCAGCACTTGGAAAGGCAGAGGTAGGCAGACTACTTGAGGCCAGGAGTTCAGGACCAGCCTGGCCAACATGGCAAAACCCTGTTTCTACTAAAAATACAAAAATTAGCTAGACGTGGTAGCACATGCCTGTAATCCCAGCTACGAGGGTGGCTGAGGTTGCAGTGAGTCAAGATTGCGCCGCTGCACTCCAGAGTGAGACTGTACCTCGCTGACCAAAAGAAAAAAGAAAAATGTGTACCAGATGCTATACACACAAAAAGGGTAGGCTATGCCATTCACGTACCAGACAGAAACAGAGCTGGAATCAAAGCGGTATGATCAGAACTCTTATTAAGTAATAATTTAATTGTGGGTTCACTCACATCAGTTTCAAAATAATTCTGTTAAATAAACATTCTTAGTAAATGTTAAGATTAAAAATAAATGATTTTTACTATACCCGGGCCATTCTTTTCCATTCTGGCATTAAGACTTGACAAGGATGACACCACGGAGAATAGAAATCAACCATCCATACTTCGTTGTGTTTTCTTTGTGTAACTAGTTCATTGAAGGTGGTGGGTGTAAGGGAGACCACTGAAGGATTCATAAGATCCTGAAGAGAACATAGCTTGCATTATAACATGTATATAAAACACAGCTGTTCATATATTCCTGGAAAATCGTTGGTACAGGCTGAGTATCTCTTATCCAAAATACTTGGAAGTATTGTGAATTCTGAATTTTGGAATATTTGCATGTATCTTGGGGATGAAACCCAAGGCTAAACATGAAATTCAGACTTTGGAGCATTTCAGATTTAAGATTTTTGGATTAGGGGTGCTCAATCCGTGTATGTCCTTTAGAAAGTTCTCATTTTTGAGAAACTAAAAGATACTTAAGGATAGCTAAAAGAAATCTAATGTGAATTAACTTAAAAAATGAAAATAAAACTAACTTAGATTTTTTAAGTTTGGATTTTGCTCATCAGTTTTGTAAAAAATCAAGGTCTATTTTTTCTTTATCTCTACATATCACTAAAATGACAGGCAGAGAAAAGAGGCGATTTTAAGTTTCCGCGTGGATAATACAAAAGTTTCAAGGGCTGCCTGGATGTCTACAGAGGCCATAAAGTTTTGTTCTAGAATCAAGAATGCCTGGCTTGGAAATGATTCTTTAATTACTAATGGAAAGCCTACTATCTCATTTTTCTGACATTCTGACTGGCGATACTACACCGTTCTACAGATTCTTTGCTCCAAATGATATTTTAACAAAGCTTCAGCCTACAACAATCAGGTAATACTAATGAAGAGGGTAGCTTCACTGGGAAACCACCACAAAACATTACGTTAGAGAAGGAGGAACAGATGAGTAGGACAACGTTGGAGGGTCATTAAATGGATAATAATAAACAAGAATTTTTCATTTTTTTCTAGGAGGCCCCTGTATTTCAGTCAATCAAGAGTGTTACTGAGAAGAAAAAAAAAAAGATGCTGTAGATGCCGGACACTCGTTTTCAGAGAAAACAGCGCAAGGGGGTGACGAGGTGAAAGTATACTGCATATGTTCAATAAAGAATTGTGTCCATTGTTTATAAGGCAATGTACATACCAGGTAACAAGTAAAACACAGATTTACGTTGAGTTTAGTAACAATAAAACATTAGAAAAATTCTTTAAAAATCATTTTGTCAGAAAATAGTTTGGGCATGGAAAGAATAAATCCTATTAAACAATATGAAATATTCATACAGGGTGTAACATATAAAAAGACAAATTTCTAGCCACATAGTCTATAGTTTGAAATACCTCTATGAACTCCAAGATTTGTTCAGCAGAGTGATGTCCTTCATACTCATGAATGTTGGACTGGTTGAATACCACTGTTGTTGGATAAGCCTGAATGTTATACTGATAGGAAGGAGAATACAAATTAAAGATTTTATAGATTTCACCTATTTGTTACAAATTTATAACAAGTTTGCCTCTAACAGGATTTTAAAAACCCATTTCTAAATTGCTGGTGACAAAAATTTTAGTCTCACCAAATTTAGCAAAGCACTCATGGCAATGAATACTGCTAAATACAGATGAATACCTGATCCTTATTTATAGCTGCTCCATTAGCCATGAAAACCATAGACATTGAAACACTGAGAAATCGACATGGTAATTACACGAATGGTCCCTTTTTACTCTCCTGAACCAAGGTAAGAAGAGGCTATAAAGAACAGGCTGTATCTCTAGTTTGAGTCTTTTTTTAAACCATAATAAATACTTTTTCTACAAATAGATGATGATGATCAGGAAATAACATAGCAAGAATAAAGACACAAATAATTAGGGGGTACATGATTATATTTTAGGTTAAAGAATTATGAATCATGCCCTATGAATGTAATCACTTTGTATTCTTTCTTCAAGATAGCCTTTATAGTAGGAAATGCTTAATTTCCTTCTCAGAAATAAAATGGGCACCAGCCCAGGAAGCATCTCTCTCAAGCTCTTATTTTTACTTTTTAAGTTATAAAGAGATCCCTGTCTGTAGATTTGCTGTAGCTGAACTTTGTACTCTTAAAGTTAAGTACTCATTAGCAAATTGGAATCTTTGACGAGGATTCAAAATAATTTTTGAAAAAACAATGGAAACATTTATATTAGTCTTAAAAAATGTGTGCAAATTCAAATAATTCATTGATTAACAAAGCGATTACAGCTGAAATTTAATGTGTTTACTATGTGTTGAGCATTATTTTAGCATTTAACATGTAGTTTCTCATTTATTCTTCACAACAATTCTACTTAGTTGCTAAAATTATAAAACCCACTGTATAGATTAGGAAACTAAGCTACTGAGAGGCTAAGTAACTTGGTCAAGGTCAACCAATTAGTGAGTGGCAACTAATTGGTGAGTGTGAATTTTGGCCTCTATTCCAGGTAAATCGGGTATCAGTTTTAAACGCTTACACTGAACTCACATTTGTTTAACGAGCTAAGATGGAAAGTAGAAAAACTGAAGGAATTAAAATTAAGATAATTATTGTTTACCACATTAATTTTGTATCTTTGGCATTTCTTTCAAAGTTATAGATAAAACATTCAAAACCAAAGGCCTTATTCATTTCCTTTTATAAAAATGTATTTTAATGAAATTTCTACAGGCATGTGCCACTGCTGCTGGCTTAAACTTCTATGATGTTCTAAAAATGTATGGCTTTCTTTTGTTTTCCTTTCTCTTCCCATTTCTTTTTTCCCTTTATCTTTTCTCCATCTATTTTTTTTTAACTTTTTTTATGAGTTATTTAAAACATTCACAAAAGTAGAGAGCAACAAACTCTCGCGTATTCACATAGCTACAATAATCATTGACTCACGGCTTTTTATTTCACTTATACTCCCTTTCTAGTCTACTCCTAAGATTATTTTAAAGCAAATTTCAGATGATCTGTAATTTCATCCACAAATATTTCAGTATATTTAAAATTTAAGGACTCCCCTCCATATAACCATAGTATCAGTTTTGTTGTCAAAAATTAACAATAATTACCTGAAATCATCAGATATCTTGTCAGTGTTCACATTTCCTCAATTATCTTTCTTTGCACTTGGTTTGTTTAAATTGCATCCAAACAAAGTCTAAATGTTGTATTTGACTGACAGTCTGTTAAGTCTCTTTAATCTCTCCTCCACTATATACAATGTATTTGACCAACAAACTGGGTGTTTGTCCTGTAAAGTTCTCCACATACTGGAAATTATAGATTTCATATCCATGGTGTCACTTAATATGCTCTCTTGTCATTCGATTTCCTATAGACTAATAGATCTGGAGATAGATCTACTATAGGATTGATTTTTTTTTTTTTTTTTGCCAAGAGTATTTTATAGGTGATATTATGTACTTTCATTCTACGGTATGTAATTTCTAGTTTTTCCTGCAACTGAGGAGTGAATATTTACCTGAGAAAATATTTTCATTTAAACAAAGATTTCAAAAGGCTTGTTCATTGTTTTAACTTCCTTCCAGCAAACATACTTAGAAGTATGAGGAAAGCCAAAGGAAAAAAATTATAAAATGTCAAAAATATTAAATAAATATAACAATCTTAAATAACTGGAAAATCATATAAGCATTTTATCAAGTTAATGAAAACAGCTGCCTGAATTTGATAAATAAGACCTTATTTACATTCAATCCACTGATTAGCTATTCATGGTTTAATCCAATCATATTTGATACCATTTTCTAAAAAAATTATTTGTTTAAATAATTTGTTACTACTCTAAATAGAAGATGTATTATTTCTAAGTTATTTTATTGTTTTAATAATAAACAGCCCAAAGGTCTCCATTTTATAAAATTAATTAGAATAATTTTTGATACTTTGCCTTACCATGTTACAGAGTCCCTCATGAACTGTACAATCTAGTGTACCAAACTTAAGCTGACCATAAAGAAGATTTGATGCTCTTCGTAACTCTGGTAGTAAAGCTCGACATGGTGGACACCACTAGGGAAGAAAAAATATTCATAAGCACCGAGCCAAATGACACAAACCGCACCCCCCTATCATTTCTGAAACAAGTAATATGCTAAGTAACACAAACTGTATTTAGTGGCAAACCTTCCCTGGAGGGGTAATTACATTAGCACTCATTTAGAAGCAATGTACATTAGTGGCCACAATGGATGACACAGTTCTAGTACTAATGATTCAAAGTTATCTAGAAAATGTCTTTTTGCCATAACAGGAGAAAATCCGACAATGTTAGAATTTGACAGACAAAAATAACTTACAGGGGCAAAGAAATCAACAAGCCATGGTTCTTTGTCATTGGCAGGAAAATTTTGAGGTCCAAGTGTGGTAACATGAGAATTCACACTTTCTTTGGCAAAGGCAAGTATATCATATAGAATCTTCTTTCCTTTCAAAGTGAATGAGAGAAATTAAAATCCAAATTCTGCTTTTTGTACGCACAGAAACATTTCAAAGTTTTTACACTCAAAATATTAAAGAAGATAAATTACGAACAAACTGATTTTGGTGAGGTTTTAGTGTTCTGTATACTATACAGGGCTTAGCTCTGATAGGAGTACCCTTTTCTTGCACACCCTTCTGTTTCCTGGACTAAAAATGTCAAAATTGGCCAGGCGCGCTGGCTCACGCCTGCAATCCCAGCACTTGGGAGGCCAAGGCAGACAGATCACAAGGTCACGAGATTGAGACCATCCTGGCTAACACAGTGAAACCCTGTCTCTACTAAAAATACAAAAAATTAGCCAGGCATGGTGGCGTGTGCCTGTAGTCCCAGCTACTCGGAAGGCTGAGGCAGGAGAATTACTTGAACCTGGGAGGTGGAGGTTGCAGTGAGTGGAGATCTCGCCACTGCACTCCAGCCTGGTGAGAGTGAGACTCCATCTCAAAAAAAAAAAAAAAAAGTCAAAATCTCTTTGAAATGTTCCCTCATCTTCAGAGGTAGAATAATGACTTTTTTGTAGGGTTCTTTATTTACGCTTACTTCGGTGATTATTATGGCCTAACTCCTAAATCGTTTTCTACAACCTAGACTTCTCTTAGGAATTCAAAACCCGTGTTACCAAGTTCCCAGTGAAAAATTTGTACTTGGATATCACGTAAACACATCAAACACAATACAGTCCTGAATAATGATATTTCAGGCAATGGTGGACCACCTATATGATGGGGTCCCATAAGATTATAATGGAGCTGAAAAATTCCTATGGCTCAGTGATGGTGTTGCTGTTGTAACTCTGCAGTGCAACACATTACCCCTTTTCTATATTTAGATATATTTAGACACACAAACTCTTACCACTGTTACAGTTGCTTATAGTATTTAGTACACTGTAACACATTGTACAGATCTGTAGCCTAGGAGCAATAGGCTATACTGTATAGCCTAGATGTGTAGTGGATTATGCCATCTAGTGTTTTTAAAGTACGCTCTCTGATGTTTGCACAACCATGAAATCACCTAACCACACATTTCTCAGAAGACGTCTCTGTCGTTGACACATGGCCATATATTAAAATTAAGGCTGTGTTATTTTCCTCCAAACCTGCTCCTTTTCTCACCATCCTTATCTTGGCAATAACATAATTATCCACTAGCTGGCTAAATATAATTTCCCAGAGTAAGCCTTGACTTTTTTCTCTGCCCATTTCCAACCCATTGCTACTGCCTGAACTCAGTCTGGCCTACTGTAATAACCTGGCTAGTGTTTCTTCACTCAGCCTTCCTTAACTAATCCGTTTTCTACATTGCTACCACAGTCCACTTACACTGAATAGTACAATCACTCAATTGCAATTTCATCAAGACAGAAACATAGGTATTATCCTTGACTCTCTCTCTCTCGACCTCCCACACATCTCAACAGTCAACAAGTAATACTGATTTTGCATTCTTGGTCTTTTACAAATCTACTTCTCTTCATCTCTGTTACTATCAGAGAAGCTAGCTACCACATTGAGAGCAGCCCTACAAAGGACCACATGATGAGGAACTGAGGCCTCTTCCAACAGCCAGTGAGGAACTCAGGCCTCCTGCCATATGAGGCCTCCTGACCATCGCAGGAGTAAGCTTGGAACCAGACCCTGTAGCTAGTCTAGCCTTCAGAGGACCAGAGCCCTTGTGTATTTTGAATGCAACCTCATGAGAAAATCCATGTCTGGAACTACCCAGCTAAACTGTTCTCAGATTCCTGACCACCAAAAACTGTGAATTAATACATGTTTGTTTTAAACCACTGAGTTTTGGGGTAATTTACTACTAAGCAATAGACAATAAATACTTCCCACTGCAAACATTTTTAAAAACCTGTCCATAAAAAAAAAATTGTCCATTTATTTGTCTGTTTTCCCTAATAGCCCACAATGTTCTTTGTATTAGAGATTACTAATTATAGTTCACATTTTTTCCTATTCTTCAGTACTGTACCTGGTACATGTAGATGCTCAATAACTATTTTAATCTAAACAATGTAAGTTCTATTACAAAGTTCGTAAGAGCACATAAAAGGAAGTGCTTGGAGATTCACAATGTATTTCCCAGGGAAGAAGCTGCTTTAAGTTTTGAAGGGCAATTTGGTGTTTGCTAAATATCCTGTGGAACAGGAAGGAGTGATTACAATGCAGGAGGAAAAATCATGTGTGAAGGCACCTAGAGGAGTGAAAGAATATGGCATTCACAAGGATCCAAAGGTAGCTGGAGCTAAGACTATCTGGAGGGGCAGCAGTGGGAATTAAGATTGGAAAAACTGGCGGAGCCAGACTGTAAACATATCCCATTCACTGAACAAACATTTCCTGAGTTCTTACTATGTGCCAGGCACCACTCTAGGTGCTGGAGATAGAGCAGTGAGCAAAACAGACAAGATTACTGCTTCTATGCTAAGGAATCTGAAGCTTATGCTATAAGAAATCAGGAAAGTCAAGGCAGAAAAGTGACACAAGAATGGAATGGACAATAACTGCAAACAAAACAAAGAATCGATTGTAAGGAAGAAAGGCTACGAGATAAGCAACCCTCCTAGAGGATATTATAATAATAGATGAAGGAGATAATGGGCCTAAAACAAAGCAGTAAGCACAGAGAAGAGGGATGTCTGATAACTATTTGAGAGATAAAAAATAATATAATTCTATTATTAAAACTTAGTCATTTCTAGCACTTTTAGTGCATGATGTATAGTTTAAACCTAGGTTTTGGAGTCAGTCAAATTTTGATTCAAAATCTACCATGGCTAGTTTCCAGTTGTCTGTCATAGGGCAAGTTACTTAACCTTTCTGAGTCTCCATTTTCTCCTTCACTGGGCTGTTGTAAAGATAAAAATGAATCACGTATGCGAGGCTTTTGGCAGAATGTCTGACTTGTAGAAAGCAGTGAATAAACAGTAGTTACTGTGAGGGTTATCTTACCCCAAACCTTTGCTCACAAAGTTCCTCCAGCCTAGAAGTCTCACTTCTTTTTCCCCTATAGTTGCTTGGGGAAAGTGAGCACTTTATGCTCAATTCAAATACCACTTCTTGACCTCTACTATGCAGAAGTCTATTTTATCTTGTTGTAGTTAATATATAATGACCATTAAGGTATTTTTTATGTTTTCTTATGGATCTCCCTCCTCCGTTCCCTACTACACTATTTTAAACTTCTTGAAGGAGTTCATGTCTTACAAATTTATATCCTCAACATTGAAAGCAGTGCTAGGTGCTAACGGGCATTTCATCGGTATGTGTTATTCACTTAACTGTATGATAGTTGGTAGTCTGTGTCTTTCTTTTGCTACATTTGACTTCTTTCAGGACAAGGACTCTGCTGTAGTCCGAACTCTTGGAGTTGAGACTGCACTCACATAAATGCAGAGCTAAAGTCCCAAATAAGCTGAAATAAAATTATAAATGCAAGAAAGATAACAAGGCAGTTAATCGGAAGTCTAGTGGGAGAAAAACCAAAAAGAATGTCTGGAAATTGCCTATAATGGCTGAGATGATACACATGGCAAGCTGGAATATAAACTGCAGGTGTTGCTTACTTTTGCCAACAAGCAGGACTTGAATTTCTCACTAGCTTGACTTATCACCAGAAACCCTGATCAAAATATTGAATAGAGAAAAGGCATTTATGTTAAAAAGAAGGGTAAAGAGAATGACTACATATAATTCAAAATATCTGTCCTCATATTTACTGAGAAAAGTTATTTACAATAAGCATGTCCATACAAAATAAATTTAAAAAGCACAATTAGAAAACCTCTATATGAAAATGAAGCTACATTTTTTATCATGTTTTCTATTCTTACCATGATGAATTTCATATTCTTTGGTTCCTTGTCCTTTAAATACTGCTAGAGATGGCTGAAAAACATACAGATTACTACAGATGTCTGGTGCAGAGGAACAGTCAAACCTGCCAACCTAAAGGAGAAAAAGAAGGTCAAATTTGATAAAAATAGGCTTACCCATTTGATTTGTAAATATTCATGATAATCCAAAAATGGCATTGCCCTAATGACACAGTTTTTAAACAGAAGCTAATAGGCTATGAAAATAAGAGACAGAAATAATTCATTTATATTTAATAATAAGACTCAATTTAGTTAAAAAATGCTTCCTAGAGAGTTAACAAAAACCTGAGGAAATTCCCAAGAAAATATGAAGTTATTCCAGAAACCTACTTTCTGAAGATGTAGAGAATGTTTATATAATCTTGAGATAGAGGAGAGATCATTTTCAGAAGCAGAAATAATGAAGAAAAAGGTTAATGTTTTCAAACTGTGTGAAAAAGAAGAACGTAAGCACAACAGTCAAATGATAAACCGGGAACAAATTCGTGGCATTTAAGACAGAAGATCCATTAAGAAACAAGATGGGCCAGGTGCGCTGGCTCATGCTTGTAATCCCAGCACTTTGGGAGGCTGAGGTGGGTGAATCGCCTGAGATCAGGAGTTTGAGATCAGCCTGACCAACATGGTGAAACCATATCTCTACTAAAAATACAAAAAGTAGCCAGGTGTGGTGGCTTGCGCCTGTATTCCCAGCTACTTGGGAGGCTGAGGCAGGAAAACTGCTTGAATCCGGGAGGCGGAGGTTGCAGGGAGCCTAGATCACACCAATGCACTCCAGCCTGGCTGACAGAGCAACACTACATCACATCAACAAAAACAAACAAACAAAACTGGACAAACATCCCATCAGAAAAAAGAAAATAGGCCACAGATACAAAGAGAAAATTAACTGGAGAAAAATTATGATCTGTTAATAATCATGAAAAAGCATTTTTCCCCCAACCAGTAGAAAGCAACTAAATGAAAGTGAATATTGTTAACATAACACCTGTGGCCTATTGGAATTGTGAAGATTATGAAGAATGAGAGTACCATGGTGGGCACAGTATGGAGAAATGGCCACCCATGTGCTGTCAGTGAGATTATAAACTGATAAAACTTTCTGGAGGACTCTAGTAATGAGAATAAAAACCATTTAAGAAAACATAACCTTGAGTTGAAAATTTCCCATATGGCCAGGTGTGGTGGTTCATGTCTGTAATCCCAGCACTTTGGGAGGCTGAGGTGGGCGGATCACCTGAGATCAGGAATTCAAGACCAGCTTGGCTAACATGGAGAAACCCAGTCTCTACTAAAAGTACAAAAATTAGCCGGACTTGGTGGCATGCGCCTGTAGTCCCAGCTACTCAGGAGGGAATCACTGGAACCCGGAATCACTTGAACCCGTGAGGCCGAGGTTGCAGTGAGTCAAGAGCATGCCACTGCACTCCAGCCTGGGTGACAGAATGACTCTGTCTCAAAATAAAAAAAAGAAAACAAAATTTCCCACACTAAAGATAAGATCTGCATAATTTGATATAAAAAATAAAGGAAACGACATAAAATCAGTAAGAGAAGATTTGCTAAACAATTATGGCATAGCCATATAGTAAGCCACTATGTAGCCTTTAGGGAATAATGAGGATATACATGTGTACATGGATATAGAGATTTTATATACATATAAATATATATGCATTTTTGCAAGCCTGTGAAAAAGTTTGATATTGCTGAATGACAAAAGTTAACAAAAAAAGTATACAGTGAATTCATTTTGATTAAAACGCAGACATATACATTTGCATGTGTAGGTCTATTACAATGGCCATTACAATATGTATGCATGTGCACACATATACATATGCCTACATACGCATATGGGCACTCACAAAATGTTTAAATGGTAATACAGTAAATACTTAGCAGGGTTATGAACAATGTTAAGAGTATGGGTGATGTTTTTAGATAATTACTTCATTTCTGTACTTATTTATTGCCCTGATTTTTAAACAATGACCGAGAATTACTTATATAAAGAAATAAGAATTTTTAAAAGGGAAAGATAACTTCCTATAGTATGCATTCCAGAAAAATTGTATGATACAGGTTTATCAAATGCTGAAATAAATGAAAATTAGCCACTTTCAGATTACATATAAACTTTTAATAAAAAAGAGGAAAAAGAGAGCACAAATCAAGACCAAAAGCACTTATAGGCTTCTTATAATTTCAAATAAGACTTTTTATGTAATTTAAAATTTAATTACTATATGTGTTAAATTTAAAGTACACCAGCAGAAGGCTAGGCAGAATACATTTTTCTTACTTGAATATGATCATTTTTAAGTAAAGTTTTTAGTTTTTTCAACTCATGATCATTTGAATTTTCATTTTTTCCAAAATGAAAAAATAAGAGCCACCGATGATGAGCCAAACGATCCTAAAAGTGATAAAGAAAGGACATGTCAGAGATGGGAAATTCTAAAGGTTGTAATCTTCATTTCTATGACTTGAAGTTAGTTTTACCTCCCCTACCCATTATTTCAAAATACTGTCTAAAATTCGGACCCACTCATTCTTTTATTTTGTAGTTTACTTACAATAATGCTATGTAAAATAAACAAATATTCCAGAAGGGTTAGCCACTAAATTATAAAATCTTAAAGTAGATGACTGCCAAAAACAAATACATGATTTTAACAGCATATAGCTAAAAAGTTGGGTGGCAAAGTTGTCAGTTTTTCAGACTTAACACATAAGATCTGGTAGTGATACAGACTTCAAAAGATCCGTGGTTAGGAAGTATTTCATTTTGTGCAAAAGTAACTGTGGTTTTTGCCAGTACTTTTAAATGGCAAAAACTTCGATTACTTTTGCATCAACCTAATAGAAAAAAAATGATTCTACCACAAGCAATATTTCTCAGCATTCTATCCATAAACTGAATACTTCTTCTTAGTAATCAATATAATCTGTTCTGCAAGCAAGAACAAAAAGTTACGAATCAGATCCAAAGTTGCTGTGATTAAAATTCTGCCTTTTCTCATGCTCCTTTTGAAGCCCACCTTCAGGACTGGGTAGGTTTTCCATAACTACAGATCTATCCTGAATTAGCAACACCAGAACTCCAATTATAATTTAACCTACAAATGACTAATATATAATCCTTTGAAACTGCTACTTTAAATTCTCTCTAGAGATGAATAAAACAAATGCTGATTTTAAAATGTTAAGACTTGAAATGTTACCAACGTTCATTGCTATTTATCATTATTAATAAAAACATTACCTCTAGTGTGTTTGCCGAAAGTAGTTCAAAATCTGGAAGATTATGTATTACTTCCAAATATATTTCTTTAGCATCCAATGAGTTAAGAAACTAGAAAAAGAAAATCACATTGTAATCTTTTTGAATAAATATTCATTATATTTGATATCTTTCTTTTGTTTTTTCAATTTCCAATGTAGTATTTTTAGGAAAATGATTATAGAAGGTAAACAGTTTTTCAAACAATTCCAAATGTCTTTTTTCAAAAACAAAAAAGTGTATTTTGGCAATTATCAAAAATATTATATAATAAGGCTGTTTCTTGAATAGTGATATACAATAAATTCCATTATAAAGTGTTGCATTAACTGGAATTTTTAATTAATTATGCTGTGTATTCTATAAAAATCCTCAGAATAATCCTGAGTGACCTCTCAATCATCAAGAAAAACATTATGTTTAGCTTAATTTTAATGCTAACCATGTTTTACAGAATGCCAATGCTTTACACATTCACTTAAGAATTTTTATTACACTAGAAGAATAGATTATCGAAGACACTTCTTCCCCCAACGAATAATCAAGATTAATTAGGAGGAACTTAAAACTGGAAAATTGGAATGGATCTTATTGCTCATTATAGAGGTTTTCATCGAAAAACCAAACCACTTAGGAATTTTTAGAGTAAAATATAATGATACAGATCTTATCTTAAACTTGTTTTAGGCCTGAGTCTCTTATTTAAAACACAAATGAGTATAAAAGGCCCTTCTAACAAATCTCCTTTATTTCTGTCAATATTTTATCCTCAGCATACTTTTTTTTGTCATAGAACTCTCTCTCCCTGCTGGTCTGATTCTCTCAATGAAGCAGCTGTTATTATAAAGAATGCAGCAATGGTTACATCAAGAAAATGTATATGAAAGGTGACAAAACAGAGTTTAATATATGTCTTTAATTATAAACCATTTATGTTTAACAGTTTAAGTATTCCTTAAACTCATTAAAAACTTGTACGAACAATCATGGAATCCACAGCTTAATCATGCTAGGCATGAGAACAAACATATGGCTAAAAACAATAGGTACAACATAAGAATAAAAATTCAGGTTTTTTTCTAAGATTCTTTCCTTAAAACTTAAAAAAAAAAATCTATAGCATAAACATTCTTAGAGGTCTATATGAAATAGCTCTGCTACCAAAGAGCTTAAAATGCCAAAACAAATCTTTCACGCCTCAGTTCTACAGCTTATTCACTTTAGTCCTATTCACTATGAAGATTTTACTAAAATGCCTATTACACAGCCTATATAAACTTGCAGTGATTAATCTACTAGAACCTCATTATAAACCTGTTTCTGTTAGAGGAGAATTTGATAGTTATACCTATAAAGGACTGCTGTCTTATCTAGTCTCTGAATTCCACCAACCCTATATATTTAGCTGGCATACTGTTTCATATTTCAAAACCTGAATGCTTTTGGAAGGGACAAGTAGTGTTTAATTCACCATTCCCTGTTATTACATTTCCAGAGTCATTCATTCCTGTTTCCTGTCTTTGACCTTGCAATTTTCTATCATGAAGCCCAGAGACTATAATACTGAAGGCAAGAGGCTGTATTGTTGGACAGGGTGTAGGCAATCCTTGTGGACTGATGGCACAGAATAAACCAGCACAACTTTTCTGGAGGGCAATCTGGCAATACTAATTGAGTTTAAAATGGCCACAGCACTCCCATTTTAAAAAGATAACTAAAAAAGTGCACAAGGATAAATACACAAGATTGCTCATTACAACATTGCTTATAATCTTAAGAAAGTAGAAACACACACCAAGAAGGAACTGATTAAACTAAGTATGTCACATGTAGTCAATGACTTACCACCCAGGTATCATTAATTACTTCAAGGATAATGTATACGTATTCATTCATAAAATAATAAAGTATGCATATAAAATGTATATTTTTAAATAAGAAAGTATTTTCCTGATACACTGAGTGAAAAAAACTAGATTACAAAATAGAATCTACTATATTATCCCATTTATGAAAAATTACATATCTGTATCCATCCATCCATTTTACGCATATAAACACATTTTAAAGATAGAGCCATAGATTTTCTTGATGAATTCGTTATAAGGTATGAGAAAAAGAGAAATCAAGAATAACTCCAGGGCATTTGGCCTGAATAATAAAGGACAGAGTTTTCATCAAATAATATGGGAAAAATCTGGATGAAGCAGATTTATGGGGGGATATTGGGAATATGGTTATAGGCATTTAAATATGAGACACAGACTAATATCCCAAGGGAGATACTGAATGAGCAGTGATATATACGTATGTACATACATACATATAAATACAGAAGCGCACATGCACACATCCACACACATATATATAGGTGCATGTGTATAATATATCTGGAGTGGAAAACAGAGATTTCACTCTGTTTTCTAGAGAACTGCTGGCACAAAGTCATAATTGCATATATATGTCAGTAGAGATCTGGATGGGTATTTACCAAGATTTGATGGTGGCTGTCTATTAGTGATTTGGTTTTAGGGAATTCTGCATCTTCTTTATACAGCTTTGGGCCATATGTGAATTTCTGAAAAGAGTATATGTTATCTTTATCAACATCTAAAAAAAGCAGAATTAAAATACAGAGGGAAAACTAAAGGAGATTTGTCTTATCAGAGTCCTTATTTTCTTTTGGGATTACATAGTGACCCATCCAATATCCCACTATTTATCTCAGTTCCTTGACAACTAGATTGAGCCTCAGTTTCCTCATTCAAACTTAGGGAGGTATGCCACATTAGTAGATGTGAAAACTGAGTTTACACCAGAATCCCATGGGGTACTTTAGAAAAATACTTAGGCCCCAGCCAAAACTACCACTGATCTATATTTTTAACATTAGAAAATAAACAATTAGGCTGGGAGTGGTGACTCACGCCTGTAATCCCAGCTCTCTGGGAGGCCGAGGTGGGCAGATCACCTGAGGTCAGGAGTTCAAGACCAGCCTGCCCAACATGGTGAAACCCCGTCTCTACTAAAAGTACAAAAATTAGCCAGGTGTGGTGGTGGGTGCCTGTAATCCCAGCTACTCAGGAGGGTGAGGCAGAAGAATCACTTGAACCTGGGAGGCAGAGGTTGCACTGAGCTGAGATTGTGTCACCGCACTACAGAGTGGGTGACAAGAGTGAGACTCCGTCTCAAAAAAGAGAAAATAAACAATTAAATCAAAAACAATGAAAACTGATGGTATAAATGCTCTTTCATATAACCTAGGAATGTACTCCATACTTTTGGGGTTTAAAAATATAATGGTTTTAAATGTAAGGTAATTTTAAATGTAAAGATGTAATGACTTTAAATGAAATGTAATCTTCAGCTTAAAAATAATCCTTAAATTTTATAATCTGAAGCACGTATTAAAAAGAATCTCAGAAATTAAATATCTGTTCTAAATAAGGGTTCCACAAGATAATATAAATTGTTCATTTCTTTGCTCACTGCTTACAAAAATAATGTATTATTTTTGAGTGCATTTGTATATTATATGTAAAGGAATTAGTTTAAAGTGATTCATACCAAAATGCTGTTTTTCTCTCTGTTATTTAAAGTGGCTCCAGGAGGAAAATAAGCAGTAGTACTTGTTGTAATATCTAAGCTTTTACAAAGGTTATCCTGGGTGGCACAGTCCATCCATCCTACATTAACAAGACCATCCTAAAATGGAAAAGAAACAGAAAACAAACCATGTTGTAAATAGGAGGCAAAAAGTTAAAGGGATTTAGAGCTTTACTTAGCTAAAAACACAATTTTTCTACCACAAAATTAAAACTTCATGCCTTAGTTCTACAGCAAAGTTAAGTAGATTTCTAATATTATTAGAAATATTGGAAAGTAGACAATATTTCCAATATTATAAATTACTTAATAAATTTAGAAATATTAAGTGCAAAAAATGGTACTTAGTAACTTGAGAAATGTTTTTTCCCTAATAGTAGAAATCTACTTTTTATAATTCTTTCTACGAATCCACAAAAAACTACATTTACAATTTTTATAGAAAGTGAGCTGTCCAATAGTCTTTCAGGTTAAAGAAAATAAACCAAACTACTGTTTAAGATTTTTCATTATGGCTATCCTTTTAATAATTATACAGTTTATGAGACATTCTCTGTATGTGTCTATAATGTGCATTTAAATTAGTATCTTCCCAGTTTTCATCTACAGCGGCTAAGCTAATCCTTTAGTGAGCTCCAAAATCCTATATGAAAAGTACATTTCTCAGAACCTTAAGTTACTGAAAAAATTTTTTGGACTGGGCAAGTTAGTAAACAAATAGAGTTCTAACATACATTCAACTGGGATCTTGGAAAGATAAGGGAGAATAAGACAGAAACAAGTGAAATAACAGCTGACAGGTTTCCACAACTGATGAAAGATATTAACACAGCTATAGTGATAAAGAAGTCCAGTTAATCTCAATCAGTATAAATAAGAAACTCAGACCTATGTACATCATAATGAAACTTCAGAAAAATCACAAACAATTAAAAGCTAAGAAAGAATAGATCTTGATGTAGGTGGTATTACATGGGAGCATATATATGTAAAAATTAAGTTGTACACTTAAGATGTATTCACTTAACTGCATTTAAGATAGAACTCAGAAAAAGTATTTGATTAAAATATGTAACAGCAAAGTTTCAGCGGTAGTAAAATAATTTGTTTAGTACTCTTGCGTTAGGTAACAAATGAGTAAGTCAGGATACATGTACAAAATTTCTAGGGTACCCATTAAATGAACAATAAAAGAATGGGTAACTAAAGATCTAGTAGAGATGGGAAATGAAATTTTAAAAATCACTTAATTAATCCAAAAGAAGCAAAAAGGAAAAAGGACTAGAAAACAGGTAGGACAGATATAAAACTAACAAGATGGTAAGTATAAAGCCAACTATGTCAGGAATAATATTAAATATAAATGGACTAAAATAAAGAATGGCAACTAGATAAATACAAAACTTAATTACATGCTGATTGCAGGCTAATAAATATAAGGATACAGTAAGGCTGACAGTAAAAAATGGAAAAATGCCAACATTAAACAAAAGAAAGCTGGTGTAGCTATATTAGTATCAGTCAAGGTAGACTTGGAGGCAAAAGACATGAAAGGAGATAAAGAGGGTTATTTCATCAGGTTAGAGATTCAAATTACCAAGAAAACATACAATTCTAAATTAATATCTACCTAATAACAAAGCATCAAAATGAATAAAAATTGACGGAAAACAAAGGAAATAGAAATATCCACAAAGTAGTAGAGGATATTAAGACACTTCTCTGTTATTGATAGAATAGGCAGACAATAAAATTATTAAGATCTAGAGGATTTGATCAACATAGCTAACAAATTGGACCCAGCTGATTTTATAGAAATGTGCACCTGTGAATTACAGGATTCATTTTCAAATGCACATGAAACATTTTATAAAAATTTACCACATACTGGGCCATGAAAAAAGGCCTAACCACTTAAAAAAACTGAATCCATGTTCATTATCCATGGTAGAATTAAGCTAGCCAAAAAATAACAACAGTACTTTTAAAAATACCCTTTATGATTGGGAACAAAAAATACAGAATCTGTGATTCAAAGAGAAATAAAAATGGAAGATTAAAATATATTTTGAACTGCTAATCAAAATACTACGTATATCAAAATAGAAGATGTACCTAAAGTTGTACTAATTTACAATCTAAATTCATATATTAGAAAGGAAAGCCTGAAGATGAATGAACTAATCATTCAAGAACAGCAAATTAAATAAAAAAAAAGTTGAGGAAAGGAAATACAGTACTTAAGTCAATGAAATAAAGAAACGTGCAGTAAAAAAAAAAAATCAATAAAGCTAAAACTTGAGACTTTGAAAAGACTTATAAAGCTTAAAAAACCTCTCCTTGGACAGAATAAGAATAAAAACACATGACACACACACAAAAAATATGATCAGAAAGTAAGAAAGAACATCACTATAGATACTACAGATATAAAAAAATAGGATATTATGTACAATTTTTATAGCAATACATTTAGACATTTGGTAGAAAGAATGAAGTCTTAGAAAAACAGAATTTACCAAATAGAGGAAGTAGAAAATCAATCAATCAATCAATCAATCAATCAATCAAGAGAGATCGGAGAAAAGTCTATAAAAACAGATTCAAAGACAACTCCAGGCCCAGATGGTTTCCTGATAAATTCCACCAAAAAAAATTCTTTTTGAGAAAGAAAGAACACCAGTTGTACAGAAACTGTTTCCAAAAAAGAGAAAAAAAGAGAATACTTTCCAACACATTTAAAGGCCAGCCTAACTTTGATGCTAAAAGCGCACAGACTTTACTGAAAAGGAAAAATATAGGCCGATCACTCCGATCACCAAATATTAAAAAAACAAAGATACTAATGCTCAGTCCTCACCCTCAAATATTTTGATTTAATTGATCTGAGGGACCTGGTTTTGTTTTTTTATTATTTTTAAAATCTCCTCAGGTGATTCTAATGTGTAGTGTTGAAAAACTAAAGGCCTAGGCATAGGGTGAAATAAGGAAAGGGAATGAAACAAAAGCATACTAAGTTAGTGATTTTATTATCAAATAAAACAGAATTTGTGTAAAAAAATCCATAATGCACAAAGAGAAATAAATAGCTGCCAAAGGATATAATGTTCATACTGCTGCGAACAATATGTCAAAATATGTAAAGGAAGAACTGACAGAAATGTAAGAGAGAAATCAATGATTGAAAGTAGAGATTTTAATACATCCCTTTTAGAAATTACAGATCATGCAGTCCAAAAGTAAATAACATGATTAATAAATCTGATCTAATAAATACAATATTATACCTAACTTAGAAGATATTATTATATTCAAGCTCACAAAGAATTTCCACAATTTTCACAACTGACAAAGTGTCAAGCCACAAAGCCACAAAGGGTATATCAATGGTGTTAAAAAATTAACATCAGACTACTTCCAAGCCATTAACATGAGAGTGAAATAAATTTTAAAATGACTAAAAAAGAAAACAAAAAATAAAGTTTGGAAATGACAAAAACACTAACATGTAACTTTAGTTGAAGAGGAATTTATAAATTGCAGATTAAAAAGTAAATGACACTTAGAATCAATACGTCAAAATTTATTGAACGTAGCTAATTATTCAGAAAAAAACACATAGCTATGAATACAGTCATCAGAAAATAAGATTACAAATAGGTGAGTTAAATGTTCAAGAAACAAGGGAAGAAAACGTTTCAAATCAATTTCTAAACGTGTTTCTTTACATGGTGATATAATTTTACAAAATGATTGATGCTTACCAACATGCCACTAAGCCTGAGTCGTGTCTGTGAAGTCAAACAATCTGGGGACAAAAAAACCTTATGAGGCAGTTTTACCTTTATGAAGCCTAATGAAAATACTTGCATTTGCCTTTCCCCCAAATTACCATGTTCATTCGAAGGCAATTAATTGAGCTGGACTCTATGGAAATCCTTCTACTTACACACACACACACACACACACACACACACACACACATTCTCTCTCTCTCTCTCCCTCGCTCCCTCACTCTCTCTCTCACATTCTTTCATTCTCTCCCTTTAATTTCTAGGATTTCTAGCTACAGAGGAAAAGAGTAATTTTCTCTCTTTAGGATAATACTCTCAATCTCTCCTCCTATCAACAATCCCTTTTACCCAAGAGATCTCATAATTGGGGGAAAATAAAATGTAACAGATATTTGATAAAAGTATGTAAAGGATCCTCAAAATACAATAAAATCTTTAAATAGTGCCTTCACTATTTTTATGAAAGTTCTGTAAATATGAACACTAGAATACAATGAGAGAAGATTTAGAAGAAAGAGAGCTATAGCATCACAGAGCCTACAAAGACAGGGAAAAGCAATTTACCTGAGGTGAGAAGTAAAAGAATCTTAGGGAGTGTAAGAAGTTTTGTTGTTGATGAACAGAAATTTGGGCAATAGGCCAAAATGAGACAAAATCCCTTGGTGATTAGTTAAGTTTAAGGCTGATGTTCTGCTGCAAGGCAGTGTCTTCCTAGCATAGGACTTACAGGATGGGGTAATGGGTTGATTTTAGTTAAAAGGCAGTATCTTTTCGATATAGTAGCATGAAGGCTGAGAGATGAAATGTGGGGAAAAGACTCGTGTTGGGATTAAATACATGCAAATACATTGAGTTACAATATTTTGTTATCTTGGACCAATTTTTAACCAACCACACTGTTTGAACACAGTTACAGTTTGTGGCTTGCTATGCAGAGTACTGAATTTTCAACATAATTTATTCAAGGAAAGGTTCCTAGAAGAAGCTGTCATCTTCAAATATATAATTGTATGAGGCAAATCTATGTATGTTTAAGAGATATATATATATAAGCATGAAGCAAAGTCCGTATTTCCAAAAAATTATTATTTTGGGATGGGTTAGAGCTGTAAACAACTAGTTATTTTTGCAAATTGTCAAATAACATCTGTGGCTACCTGAAGGTACAATTTATCATGAGTCTATTTAAGCTGAAAAACTGGTCCACTGAACATAAGAACATTCAAAAATGAATTACATTAAAAATTGAATGTAAAATTACATTAAAAAATACATTAAAAAATGAATAATAACCTCATGTGTAAAATAATGAAAAAGGCAAATATTCATTAAGAAAAACAATTGCAATCTTGGGCATACACTGTAGTTTCAAGTACTTAATAATTAATTAGAGTAGCATACTTAAAACTGTCACTGAAAATTTAAATGTCATGTTCTCTTCATTCCAGCAAAATTAAAAAATATTACCTCCTCCTTTTGAACAAAAAGTGATCAGCCAGCCAATACCAGCAGCAAAAGCAGTTTGTATGGAGTTAACAAAATTTCCTTAAAAAAAAAAAAAAGCAAATTCTGATCACCTATTACTCCTTTACTAATGGAAACAGTCTTCTAAGTAATTTTTCCTTTCTAATCCCACCCTCTTTTAATCCACTCTGAGTTTTACCAGTTATCTTTCCAAAGATACTCTTGAGTATGACAAATTCCTTCAATGGCTCTCCAATTTTTCACCATATAAAACCTAAATTCATTATTTCATTAAGAAAAAAACTCAAATTGGCAAGTTAGGCCCCTGTAACTTGAGCTTTGTCTACCTATTCAGCCAGCTATATTGTATTTCTCCATAGCACTTGACCCATTTATTCATCTTTTTGTCGGATTCATGAAGTATTGCCAGTTCCCCAAATACACAGTGATCTCCTAAAGTTTCCTATTCATTTTCATGACAGATTAGAAATGACTTCTTTCAAGAAGTATTTTCTAACTCTCTTTTCCCCAACTGGGTTGTTTTACATATGTTATGCTTCCTTAAGCTCTATAACAATAGTTACTATATTGCATTTTAATTGTTTACTAATGTTTTCCTCACTAATGAAGTCACTGATGGCAAGGATTATGTATTTTACTACTGCAGCCCTACTATTTAATAGTTTCTGACATGTAACTTTACTCAACGAATAAAATGAACATCTTGAGCCACGAATACTATTATTTCCTGGATAGCTTAATCTGTCTAAAGGCAGTTAATGAGTTAAAAGCCTAAGATTAGAAGCATTTTTAAACTTTAAACAGAATAGGTTTGAATTTAGACTGAAAAGCATACTTAAAAAGGCAATAAAACACTTGTATCACAAAATATTTAGTTGCACTTTGAGAGAAGTCTTTTTACCCTAGCCCTATCTCATATCCATTTCCCATATCTCAATAGTTTCAGTTTCTGTACAAATCTAACTAGTTTGTTAAATTCAGCGGAGTTCAGAGTAAATGACACAATTCCCTTCTAAGAAACATGGAAAAGACACTTTAAAATTTCAATACCATGACCAAAATGTTAATATTGCCATTAAAAACAAAATACTAATTTCAAAATACCCTGAAAATCAAGCAAATTAAGAAAATAAAATTACCTGTCCAAAGTTCTGTCACTGTACTTCTAACATGCTGCATTGCAAAACTCACTAAACTCTCCTTTGATCTGTCTCCATGATATTTCACTGGGGCCTATTGGTTTTTGGAAGAAGGGAAACATCTTTTACTTTTTCTTTTAAAAACTCAGTAAAAATAATACCAAAGAGTTTGATTTTTATATTTTCTTGAATAATGCAGCAAAGTTCTATTTCTCAATAGCAGAATGTATTTCCAAATGATATCCTGATGATCTTGACAGTACAGATTCTATGGAAGATATTTTAATAATACCATTTATAATGGTTTCAGTTTCATCACTGGAAACTAAGGAAAAAGATATCAGAGCTTTACATTCAATGAGACAATACTTGTAAAATACTTTGTAAACTAGCAAATACAATATACATATTGTATAAATTATGTTCCTTAAGACAGAAACTGAAATTGGCAAACATTTAATTTTAAAATATAGCAAAGTCAATGGTGTTTGGCTGGGCACCGTGGCTCACGCCTTTAAACCCAGCACTCTGGGAGGCTGAGGTGGGCAGATCACCTGAGGTCAGGAGTTCAAGACCAGCCTGGCCAACGTCTCTACTAAAAATACAAAAATTAGCCAGGCGTAGGAGCGGGTGCCTGTAGTCCCAGCTACTCGGGAGGCTGAGGCAGAATTGCCTGAATCTAGGAGGCAGAGGCTGCAGTGAGCCGAGATCATGCCCTTGCACTCCAGCCTGGGCAACAGAGTGAGACTCCGTCTCAAAACAAAAACAAAAACACAAAGAAATGGTGTTTAAAAATATTCAGGCCAGGCGCGGTGGCTCACGCCTGTAATCACAGCACTTTGGAAGGCCGAGGCGGGCGGATCATGAAGTCAGGAAATAGAGACCGTCCTGGCTAACACAGTGAAACCCCACCTCTACTAAAAATACAAAAAATTAGCCGGGCGAGGTGGCGGGCGCCTGTAGTCCCAGCTACTTGGGAGGCTGAGGCAGAAGAATGGCATGAACATGGGAAGTGGAGCTTGCAGTGAGCCGAGATCGACCAGTGCACTCCAGCCTGGGTGAAAGAGCGAGACTGTCTCAAAAAAAAAAAAAAAAAAGTCATAATCCAAAATGTTTATCATCACAGAAGACCAGTGAGATGGCACCTAAAACAAGACTTAAAATGTTCTGCAAATTCCACATACTGTATTTTCTCTAGTATTTAACTTGTCATAATGTTTCACAAATTTAAAAAAGGCTAACTTTATCCCTTACCATTCCAGACCGAAAAATGAAGAGACTGGGATAGCTGTTGACTCCTTTCATTCGGCAAAGCATTCTATCATCACCACAGTTAACAGCTCCAATTCGAAGTAACCCATCCACTTCTTTAGCAAAGTCTCTCCACTATGAGAGAAAAAGAAAACATATTTTTCTGATGAGACCACTTTTTTTCCCTTGAACACACTCCAAGCTATACATTTTTAAACCAGACGTTTGAAAGTATTTGATAATTATTTTTGATAACTACTATTCATAGAAAAAAAATTCTAACACATAAATTGCAGATTAGAAATAAAACTAGTAATGGGAATGTGAAAAATACGTACTGTGGGAGCTAAATCATGGCAGTGTGAACAGCCTGGGGAGTAAAAGTTTACAAACCACAGTTCTCCAGAATTAACAGCAGCATCTAAAAATAAATAAAATGGAAACAACTTAGAATTATTTATTAAAGGTTCATGCATGTTTTAGTTAACTTTTTGTGGAGATCAGAATTTAAAAAAAAAAGTCATAAAATTTTCATATTGTCTTTCTCATTTTCTGTGCAATTTTTTTCTATATCTTCTACATAAATGACATTCTTAAAAAATTAAAAATTTTTTTTTCCACGAGAAACATTTTCAAATCTCAAACCAATGGTAACTTTTTAAGAAAACTCTCCTATGCCCATACTTGAAAAAGCAGCAGCCTCAAACTGCAAGATAAATATGGCCATAAAGTTCTAAAAAGTGACAGCACAAGAAACAGCAGCCAAACCTCACAGAAGAGTATGTGTGCACTAGAGAAATAAAGAAGACAAATAGAGTGACTGAGATTTAAGCTCTTCTATTATATGCAGCATAGGTTAAGTAGGTTTAGTCAATTCTGACAGCTACTTTAAACTCTGAAAGAATAAGAGACTTACATAATATAGTAAGGATTGTGGGGATTAAATTTAATCTAAGCCCTAAATAAGACATTACCGAGGCCGGGCGCAGTGGCTCACGCCTGTAATCCTAGCACTTTGGGAGGCTGAGGCGGGCGGATCACACAGTCAGGAGATCGAGACCATCCTGGCTAACACAGTGAAACCCCGTCTCTACTAAAAATACAGAAAAATTAGCCGGGCGTGGTGGCGGGCGCCTGTGGTCCCAGCTACTTGGGAGGCTGAGGCAGGAGAATGGCCTGGACCCAGGAGGCGGAGCTTGCAGTGAGCCGAGATCGCAGCCACTGCACTCCAGCCTGGGCAACAGAGCAAGACTCCGTCTCAAAAAAAAAAAAAAAAAAAAAAAGACATTACCTTGGAAAATCATTTTGTTTGAAAAGGTTGAGGTTTTTTTTTTTTAAACAATTCAAAACATTAATACATATTTGCTAAAATTACAGATTTGAACGACATATATCTAGCTAATAGTACATTTTACATTATTATCTGTAAAATGACCTGATGCAAGTTACAAATTTTACTCATTTAAAAAATTTAACATTGTAAAAATGTACTTTCACATTCAAGACAAAAAGGTGAGGATAGTTTGCTTTGGGTTAAAGGATTGCCATATAATTTCATGTTAAAATTTGTTATTTTAAAATAAAAATTTCAGAAATTACAGTAAGACATTAAATCACACATGGTATTCTAAATATGTGCAACTAATTCAGGCTAATTAGAAATAGGTGCAGGACTCAGGGTTCACCTACATTTCAAGTATGAGACAGACCTGTGGGAAAACAGTTAATCTGTACATTACAGGCAAGGTGTATAATTCAGAACTATCGGCTGTTCTTTGGCAGTGTTTTCAAAGTCTGGCAAATGACCGCTCTATAGAGGTGGTGGAAAAAATTGCCATATTGGTTTAGACCACAAGCCAGCACAAATTTAAGTAAAAATAGTAACAGAATTAATGCAAACTTTAATGAAAGAAGGGATTATCTTATCAGCTATAAACAAGTAATGAGGTATTTTTATATAAAAATAGAAAGCAATAATTACACAAGGTATTACTATTCATAAGTCTTAAATAAAAATATGCTGTAAAACAAATTTGAATGGTATTTGACATAAAACCTTGCTAGTAGTGAAAATGTCTCCTACCCTGCTAACAGGCATACCTCAGATATTGCAGGTTTGTTTCCAAATCACAACATAGCCGGTATCGCTATAAAGGAGTCACACACATTTTCTGGTTTTCCAGTGCATAAAAAAATTATATTTACACTATACTATAATCTATTTTGTAAGAGCATTATGTCTAACAACAACAACAACAACAACAAAATGTACATACCTTAATTAAAAAATAGGCTGGGCACAGTGGCTCATGCTTGTCATCCTAGCATTTTGGGAGGCTGAGGCAGAAGGATCATTTAAGCCCAGGAGTTTTGAGACCAGCCTGGGCAACACAGCACGACCCTGTCTCTACAAAAACAGCTGGGCATGGTGGCACGTGCCTGCAGTCTCAGCTAGTCGGGAGACTGAGGTGGCAGGATCGCTTCAGCCCAGGCTTGGGTTCAAGGCTCTGGTGAGCTATTATCCTGCTGCTGAACTCTCCAGCTGGGATGATAAAGTGAGACCCTATCTCTTAAAAAAAAAAAAAAACTCAAACCAAGGAACAAAAAATAACTTTATTGGTAAAAAATGGTAACATTAACAGTCATTTGAGCCTTTCAGCAAGTCATGCATGTCATGATGTTGATGGGTGCTGACTGATCATGATGGTGGTTAAGGTTGGGGTGGCTGTGGCAATTTCTTAAAATGAGACGACAAAGAAGTTTGCCACATTGACTGACGTTTCCTTTCCTGAAAGATTTTCTCTGAAGCATGCAATGCTGTTTGATAGCATTTGACCCACAGAACTTCTTTCAAAATTGGAGTCAAAATTGGCCTCAAACACCCTGTTGCTGCTTTATCAACCAAGTTTATGTAATATTCTAAATCCTTTGTTGTCATATCAACATTGTTTACAGGACCTTCACCAGGAGTAAGTTCCATCTCAGGAAACCACTTTCTCTGCTCATCCGTAAGAGGCAACTCCTCACCGCCCCACGTTTTATAATGAGATTGCAGTAATTCAGTCACATAATCAGGCTCCAGTTCTCTTGCTATTTCTATCACATCTGCAGTTACTTCCTCCACTGAAGCCCTGAACCCCTCAAAGTCATCCCTGAAGGTTGGAATGACTTTCCTCCCAACGCCTGTAACACTGATATTTTGACCTCCTTCCATGAATCACAGATGTTCTTAATGACACTAGAATGGCAACTCCTTTCTAGAAGGTTTCCAATTTACTTTGCCTGGATCCATCAGAGGAATCACTATCTATGGCAGGTAGAGTCTTGTGAAATGTATTTCTTAGAGAGTATGACTTGGAAGTCGAAATTACTCCTTGATCTACGGGCTGCAGAATGGATACTGTGTTAACAGGCATGGAAAAAAACATTATGCTCTTTGTACATTTCCATCAGAGCTCTTGACAGGCGCACTGTCAATGAGCACTAATATTTTCAAAGAAATCTTTTTTTCTGTGTAGTATGTCTCAACAGAAAGCTTAAAATATTCATAAAATAATGTGCTGTCATCCAGGCTTTGTTGTTACATTTACAGAGCAGAGCTGATTTAGCCTAACTCTTAATGGTTTTTCGTAAAATGAGCACTGGTTTCAACTTAAGGTTACCAACTGCACTGGCCCCTAACAAGAGTCAGCCCATCCTTTGAAGCTTGGCATTGACTTCTCTCTAGCTATCGAAGTCCCAGATAGCATCTTCTTCCAATGGAAGGCTGTCTCATTTACACTTGAGAATTTGTTGTTTAGTATAGCCATCTTCATCAATGATCTTAGGTAGATCTTCTGGAAAACTTGCTGCAGCTTCTATGTCAGCACTTGCTGCTTCATCTTGTATTTTGATGTTATGGAGATGGCTACTTTCTTTAAACCTCATGAACCAACCTCTTCTAGCTTCAAATTTTTTTCTGCAGCTTCCTCATCTCTCTCAGCCTCTATAAAATTGGAAAGAATTAGGCCTCTCTTTGGTTAGGCTTTTGCTAAGGGGATGTTGTGGATGATCTCATCTACCCAGACCACTAAGACATTCTCCATGTTAGCAGTATGGCTGTTTTGTGTTCTTATCATTAGTGTGTTCACTGGAGTAGCACGTTTACTTTCTACGTTGCATTTATAAATTTAACTAGCAAAAGAGGCCTTTTAGCCTATCTTGGGTTTTGATATGCCTCCCTCACTAAGCTTAATCATTTCTAGCTTCCGATTTAAAATGAGAGACATGCATCTCTTCCACTTGAACATTTAGAGGTCACTGTAGTTATTAATTGGCTTAATTTCAGTAATGTTTTATCCCAGGGAGTAGGGAGGCCCAAGAATAGGGAGAGAAAAGGGAGAAGGAAGAGGGAGCAGTCAGAATAGACACAAACATTAAGTCTGCCATCCTATGGGCACACTCCAAAATGATTACAATAGTAACATCAAAGATCACTGACTGCAGATCATCGTAACAGACAGAATAATAGTGAAAAAGTTTGGATACCAAAATGTAACACAGAGACATGAAGTGAGCACATGCTATTGGAAACATGTTGAGCTGACAGACTTGCTTGATACAGGGTTTTGCTAAAAACCTTCAATTTGTAAAAAAAAAAAAAGAAAGAAAAAGGCATTATCTGTGAAGTGCAATAAAACAAAGTCTAATAAAATGAGGTACACTTGTATTTTGTCTTCATGGAGCACTTCTCATATTTGCCGAGGTCCCACTGATTGCTGAGTAATAAGAATAAAGTTAAAATATTTTTCATACTGTATCATCACAGCTCAACGGGATGTTGTGCATAACAGTGACCCAGAATAGAATTACTACATTTCAAAATGCAACGTTCCACTTCTAAACTATACAACTAGAGGTATTGTCTGTTAAAATACATAAAACTATAGTTAATAGCTTCTGTTAGGAAAGTAAAGTGTAATTACTTTGCCTGTAACGTACAGAGGAACTGTTTTCCCACAGGTCTATGTTATACTTGAAATGTAGGTGAACACTGAGTCCTGCACCTGTTTCTAATTAGTCTGAATTAATTGCACATATTTAGAATACCATGTATGATTTAATGTGTTACAGTAATTTCTGAAATTTTTATTTTAAAATAACTAATAACTAATTTTAACATGGAATTATATGGAAATCCTTTAACCCAAAGCAAATTATCCTCGCCTTTTTATCTTGAATGTGAAAATTCATTTTTACAATGTTAAATTTTTTAAGTGAGTAAAATTTGTAACTTGCATCAGGTCATTTTACAGATAAAATATAAAATGTACTATTGGCTAGATACTACATGTTGTTCAAATCTATAATTTTAGCAAATATTTATTAATGTTTTGAATTGTTAAAAAAAAACTCAATCTTTTCAAACAAAATGATTTTCCAAGGTAATGTCTTACTTAGGCCTTAGATTAAATTTAATCCCCACAATCCTTACTATATTATGTAGGTCTCTTATTTTATTCTTTCAGAGTTTAAAGTAGCTGTCAGAATTGACTTAACCTACTTAACCTATGCTAAATATAATAGAAGAGCTTAGAAGGCATTTGCTTGTTGACTTTCTAGAGAGTCAGAAATGATACCATCTGCTTAGCAGAAAAATGCCTGGGAAAGCTTCACTAGAGGGTCCTTCTCTATCACAACAATGCTCCTGCTCATTCCTCTCATCAAGCAAGGTTAATTATTTATGAATTATCTCTGAAGTTTTGTGGCTGCAATTTATCTTGAACTACCATTTAGAGTTCTATATGAACTATTAGCAGTTCTTAAGCTTTTTTGCATAGTGACACATCTGAAAAAGCATGAACCCATATACAATATAACTATCAGTGAAGTCTCATTCTAGGTAGACTCATGGATTAGTAAGTTTGCAAGTTTTGTTCAGTTCCTCTACCTGTAATTCCAGTGTTTTCTAACTCACTGGTTCACAAACCACTTACTGATGTGATGTATTGGGAGATGAGAGACAATAAAAACCACACAGGAACAGGTATAGGTTTATATAACTCACACAACAGATATGATTCTACCAGCCTGTGACATGAGCATTAATTCTATTAACAATCCAAATGAATCAAATTGTCTTATTTTATTTGCAGAATATAGGAAAGATATATTTTTCTATTCACTTAGAACATGTTCAAGTGTTTGTGTAGACGGCTTTTGACAAAGTAACACATTGAACAGCTATTTTGTATGTGGAGCTTACCAGCATGATGTAGAAATTAAGATTAAAATGCCACCCTTGGCCAGGCGTGGTGTCTCATGCCTGTAATCCTGGCACTTTGGGAGGCCAAGATGGGTGGATCGCCTGAAGTCAGGAGTCCGAGACCAGCCTGGCCAACATGGTGAAACCATGTCTCTACTAAAAATACAAAAATTAGGTGGGCATGGTAGCGGGCACCTGTAATCCCAGCTACTCAGGAGGCTGAGGCAGGAGAATCGCTTGAACCCGGGGGGGCAGAGTTTGCAGTGAGCCAAGTTTATGCCACTGCGCTCTGGTCTGGGCGACAAAGCAAGACTCCATCTCAAAAAAACAAACAAACAAACAAAAATAACAAAAAAAGCCACCCTTGCTTAGAAGGAACAAACTGTATATAATCAAGTAGCTGTAATAAATTTTTAACGATAATAATATATGAAAAACATTATATAGATTTATATGTATTTTTTGTGACTGGTAGGCTACTTTAGTTTTCTTTTTTTTTGTGGTGCCATCATGGCTCACGGCAACCTCCGACTCCCAGATTCACGCGATTCTTGTGCCTCAGCCTCCTGAGTAGCTGAGATTATAGGTGGGTGCCACCACGCCCAGCTAATTTTTGTATTTTTAGTAGAGATGGGTTTTCCCCATGTCGGGCAGGCTGGTTTCTAACTCCTGATCGCAAGTGATCCGCCCGCCTTGGCCTCCCAAGGTGCTGGGATTACAGGTGTAAGCCACTGCGCCCGTCCGTATTTTAGTTTTCCAAATTAAATGCAATTGTGATAGAGTAATATAAAATTGAAATTTGAAGTATAATTTATTGCTTTGAAGTATAAAAAATAAACCTATTATTACTGTACAAAGAGATGAAAGTATAAGAATCTATTCTGGTATACAATTTTCTTAAATGCAATGGAAAATGCAGAACTGTATTTTTATGGGCATTTCACACAAGTTGCCAATCAAATTAAATCTACTTCCAAAATAACTATACCTTTATCAAAAACTCTAAAATCAAAAAGCTCTAAGAAATTTTGCTGTAAGTTTGTAGCAAGCTCATTTGGCATCCAAACCTGATCTGAACTGATTTTTAAATTTCTTTTATTTAGTATATACTTACACATTTTGCTACAGAAATATTAATGTTTTTATTATGGTACACTTCCCCACATTCTGCTAGAAATATTTAGTATACAGTATATTACATTATTACTGTTCAAAAATCCAAAAGATTTCTAAATTTCAAACATATATATCCCCAAGAGTTTCAGATGAGATCGAACTTGTATTAAGTTTCATAAAACCTTAAGCCCACAAACTTACCAAATTCTCTTCTTTCCAATGTTATGATTTCAGGATCATCATCATAAATACCTAATTTTAAAAGTATATAAAAATTATAAAATCAAAACTTCACTATATAAATTGCCACATACAAATAGATTACTCATTTTAATCATCAAAAAAAATCAAACTACTATATTAAATCTCAAACTTAGAGAATATGCAACAACCTAAGTGGAAAAAAAGTAAATAATACTATCAATATATTTAGGGTGATCTAAAGATACTAGAATTTTGATACAGACTCTCATAGGTGTGTGTGTGGTAGTCCTAATATTCACATAATTTCATCTCCATAGAAAATCTATATTATGGTTTTAAAAATAATTAGATTCAGGGAGGTGCAAAAATATAGACTCTTGTGTACTTTTTACTCACCTTCCTTTAATGGTGACATGTTAATTAGCTACAGTATAATATCAAAAACCAGGAAATTGAGAGTGGTATACTGTTAACTAGACTACAGACCTCATTCAATTTTCAGATTATATGGTTTCTAATACATGGTATCATGTTAGAATATCTTCTGCTAAAAAGTTTGGAATATTTGCAGAGGCAGACACAAATATTTAGTAAATATAACTTTTTTAGGCTTTGTGGGATGTATGGCTTCTGTCACAACGTCTCAACGCTGCTCTCAAAGTGTGAAAGAAGTCATATATATTATGTAAACAAATGAATGTAATTGTATTCCAATAAAACTTTATTTATAAAAGCAAATGGCAAGCCAGATTTGGCCTATGAAACGCAGTCTGCTAACTCTTGATATAGACTATCAAAGTGTAGAGAATATACTTGAAAATACTATTTTGAAAAGAAAATTTATATTTACTAAAAGCAAATCCTCCAGATATAAATTTAAAATACTGTGTGTTTACATTCTTTCTTCCTTGGTTCCTTTACTTTGTTTCCTCCTTCCACCTTATTTTTTCCTTCATGTTTAAGAAAAAGAACACCTTTCGTCCTTCTCATATGCAACCTTTATTGATAATGTTTCAAGGTATTGACCTTAATGTCAACCGAAGGCCAAAGCACCTTAAAACATCAATAAGGGTTCCATATGAGAAGGATGGCATTTCTATTGAAGAGATCATTATTAAACTTAAAGTTTAGCCTTTCTTGGAAAATATGATGCTCTAAAATATATTGAAAGAAATATTATTTAATACTAAAAAATACTGAAAGAAATGTTTAACTACCCCTAATGCAAATATATAGTCATACATCACTTACTAACGGGGACATATTCTGAGAAATATGTGGTTAGGGAATTTTGTTGTTGCAAAAACATCACACAGTGTACTTACACAAACCTAGATAGCATATCTTACTATACACCTAGGCTACAAACCTGTACAGCATGTTACTGCTGAATACTGTAGGCAACTGTAACACAATGGTAAGTATCTTTGCATTTAAACATAGAAAAGGTACAGTAAAAATATGGTATTATAATTTCATGGGACCAATTTCCTACATACAGTCCATTGCTAAGTGAAATGTCATTATGCAGTCCATGAATGCATATTTTTTATTAAATAACAATCCTTATTTTAGAAGTATTTAACAAGAATTGACCAATACAACTTCGTATCTGTACAGATCATCTCTGTATACCCACTGACTTTCCTTTTAAATTTCACTCCCACAGCAAATTAAAAGGAGCTAATCAAAGTGACACATATTAAATATATAACCTAAGTGATGAAACAGAATTCACTTTCCTTTTACTCAGATAAAAAACATTTCATAAGTAATATCGTATCACCTTACCAAAATCATAACGATAATAGTTCCAGCTTTCATACTGGCCACCTTGATTATCCTCAAGTCCCTTTTCTCCATATTTGTCATACTTTTTCCGTAGATCTTCATCTTTGAGTACTTCATATGCTCTATTTATTTTTAAAAAATCACCATGTGCATTTGGGTTATTCTGTTAAAAAATATTAGATATAATACAATTATTTCAGATACACAATCCAAGTTTCCTTCAAAAAATATATGCAAGTTTAATTAATCTAGTGACTTCTGGGAGACCACATACCAACATGAGGAGGGGTAATACAACATCACATGAGTTACCATGGGTTGAAATGAAGTATTTTTTGAGAAACTATAATCTTCAATAAAAAAAAAAGAAAAGTAATGAAATAATAATTGACTCTTCAAAAGGCTGACAGATGTTATCAGACCATGTAAGTTATTTTTCCTAAAAAATGCAGCTCAGTGAAACTAATAAGCCTGTTGAAACTCTTAATTTCATATTTATTACTCCTATAACAATTATAAATCAATACATTTATAGGTTATTTTTCTATTTAAGGCAAAATCAACTTATTAAAAAAGGATGTGCCCCAATCCATCAAATAATTACATAAAAGCCAATATCAGAAAACACCCCAAAACTGATTCCAGTACTTTGGGAGGCCGAGGAGGGTGGATCATTTGAGGTCAGGAGATGGAGACCAGCCTGGCCAACATGGTGAGATCCCCGTTTCTACTAAAAACACAAAAACTAGCTGGACAGTAGTGACGCACGACTGTAATCCCAGCTACCTGGGAGGGTGAAGCAGGGGAATCGCTTAAACCTGGGAGGCAGAAGTTGCAGTAAGCCAAGATGGCCTCACTGTACTCCACTCTGGCCAAAAGAGTGAGAACCTGTCTCAAAAAAAAAAAAAAGAAAGAAAACAATCCAAAATTGGATTGGAAATGTTTCTTCCTTGTTACTGTGTTTCATAAAATTTGTCTCTGAAGGATGCTTTCATTTAAATAATACTTGGATGATAGAAGGTCTACTATCTTTTATATGGAAACTTAAAATCATTATTTGACATTTTAAAGAAATTTAAAAAAAAATCTTAAATGTGGATCTCAGGAAAAGATAATCAATTAAAGAAGAGTTTTAAAGAAATATTGTTTCTCTTGCTCAGCTTTATGCAATGAAATAAAATAATCCTATTTTAAAACTTCTACCTAGAAAAGAGAAAATTATAACTATATCTTCTCCTTGTTCATGATGGACACTAAATCTCATTAAGACATAACCAACTAATTACAAAAACACCATAAAAATTCAAATGAATTTAGTTTTGAAAGATTTACGTTATTGGTACATAAATATTTATGACTGGCATATTCAGCTGCTCTCAAATATTAATTTATAAAACTTTCTAACTGGTTTGTGGACTTGTGCATGGAAGAAAATAGTCAAAGTTAAAACATGCTATTATTAGCTATTACTTCTATTTTTAGCAAGTCATACCCTCTTGAGTTTTAAAAAAATATTTTTTGCAACTGTTCTAAAATACTTGATCTTAACCTACTTTAATAGGAAAACTACTTCAACTACTTCATGGATATTATCGTTTGTTTTGGGGTTAATGTTTTCAACAGAATTGTTGGAAATTCGTCCACAAATTAAGAGGGAACTGAATTTTTGGTACTGACATTCCTAAATAATCCAAAATAATCCATAACATTTCGGTGCTTTTGTTTCTAGCATACAAGTTGAATTATAATTTTGACATGTGATTATTCTTAAGTATTTGATCACTTAAAGCGATTTAAATAAATATCAAAATGTACCAAAAATAAAATCAAATATTTTTAAAAACAAACGTTTACCTACCGGGTTTTTATCAGGATGTAACTTCAATGCCAATTTCTTGAAAGCTTGTCTTATTTCTCTGCTACTTGCAGTTTTGGATACTCCAAGTAAACTGTAAAAATCCTGATCGGTGCCCACTAAAATGGCCATATACACTATCAGAAAACAGAGAATGATCCTTTTCAAGTCTCTGATACAGTCATCTTTATTTAACCAGACTCCCATTCTCTTTCTTATGCAAGTTCTGATTTAAGTGAACATTAGGATTCACTGCTGGTTCCAGTTGATGTAATATGCAAATTTGAGAACTTCTGTCCACATTACTTCAAGGGTGAATCAAGCATCACAAATCTGTCCCCAAAAACATTAATCTAAGAAAGAAAAGCAGGCAGTTAAAATACATTTTGAACTAAACAATAACAGCACAATTTATTTATCAAAGAACATGGTCAGCAATACAATCTCCATTAAATGGCAAATCAGTGTGAATGCCCCATGTTCTTTCTACATTCATGTAGTTAGATTTGTGAAATCACTGAAGATAGCAGATAAAAGGTCATGAGTGGTAGTAACTAGCTAGAACACACACACTCAGCAATTTACACATGGAGAAAAGACCTCTGACGAGCACCAGAACACAAAGGTGGCAATAAGCTACATATCCTTCCTCTTTCTACTCAGTTTTAGCTTTGCCTTTAATAGTTCTTCTTTTTAGCTACTTCTTTACCCCCTAAAGCTGTCTAATTTTCATTTTCAGCAGAATTCACTTGTAGGAAATGTCCTTGTGAGGGACTAGAAGGAAATACAGGGTTCTTTACTTTTCACATAACCCTACCAGAAATGGCAGTGAAGTACATTGTTATAATAGACAATCTACACAGCAGTCGATCTTTTTCCCGGAGTTTTCTCAGAAGGTGCTTATATTGAATTTAAGCGGAGGCCATTTTCTAAAAAGAGTAGAAAAATAATTGTAAGTTACCAGTGTAATTTTGTTGCAAAGTTCATGTTTGGTGTAAGTAAAAACAAAAAACAAAAAGAGAAGGGAATAGGTTAGACATACTCTCTGCAGGCAAATGATGGCAAAAACCATCATTACTTCTTCATATCACATTTCAACCACTATATTTTAGTTCCAAAGATCTCCTAATGCTTTGAAAAATCTAACTCTCCTTGCACTTCATTTCTGTTTTTCATCTAATCCTAAATGTCTATTTTTAAATTCTTCTCTTTACCTGTGAGTGATCTTCAGTTCATTTCTAATACTTCCTTTTCATTCCACAAAAATATACCTTTGAAAAATATAATGATGTAGAGATTAACAAGTATCCAAACAAGAAAACAACCATCAGAAAAAGAGAGGTCATAGTCTCAATCAACCCTTTGGGATAAGATGTTTCTCGCCCAGGGGTTGTTCTTAGCGTCGGGGTGACCGAACTGCCCGTGGCCCGAGCTACTGGGCAGGTGGAAGCGCCAGGTAAATGCAAGGCTAAAGCTTTCGCGCTGCCATCACTGCGGAGTGGGACAGGGGAGACGGGAAAAGATGGAGACACGGGGGAACAGGGCTGTCAGGAGTCGCTGGTGTCTGAAGTCTCAGGTCGGACTCAGGCAGAAAGTGTAAGTGAGAGGGAACCACTGGGCAGAGGAAGGGTGGTGTGGATAACAGTGAGGAGGAAGGTGGGGAGCGAGAACACAATACCCAGGTCATAGGAGCGCAGAGGAAGGGGGGTTCAGGCGCTCAGCCATTCCGCCCCTCCCTGACCGGAGGGCCCCGGCCACCACCGGCTCCAGCAAAGCCCTGGCCCCGGGCCCATGCCCACCTTGCCATCGCGGGGTCGCTTCCTGCAGCTACTCCCCCATCCTCAAACCCTGGCGGCGGACCCCGCCTGGCCGAGCCCAAGCACCGCGTGCGGGAGAGAAGCACACGCACTCTCCGACGGCCCAGCCGCGGCGCACGGGACGGGGAAGGTCCAGCCACACCGGCCACTACTGGCGCGCGGCCGGCACCGGTCAGCTCCTCACGCGCCGGTGTCCAAGGCGAGTCGGGGCGGGGCCTGGCGCGGGGCATTGTGGGAAAGGCGTGGAGGACGCTGCCTGGGAGACCCGCTGCGGGCCTAGCCGGCGCGGCGGCGGCGGCGGTGGGGTGGAGAGGGCGGTGTAAGTTTAGGTTGACGTGGCCGTGTGCGCGGGATCCGGCTCCGGCTCCGGCTCCAACCCGGAGCTGAGGGAAGTGCCCTGGTCAAGCCGCCCGCGCTCTCTCACCAATGCGGCTGGCGCCTGCCTCGGGCGGGGACGGTGGATGGCGAATCCCGCCTCTTCCTGCTTCCGTTGCCAGGGTGACGGGGAAACCCGGAGGGCGGGTTTTGGGGTTGACTTCCCTGAGACCCTTTTAAAGGGAAAACGGAGCTTTGGAGGATTTGTTTGGGTGATGGGTGAGTGAGGCCGAAAGGCGAAATTTGGCGGAGAAAGAAGAACTTGCTTGAAGCGACGCTGATTGCAGTATCAGGCTAGCGGACTGAAGAAGCAGTAGGAAACTTGAAGGAAATTAAAACATTTACAATTTTGTGTAAGCGTGTGTATCAACAAGCATTTAAGACTTCTACAATATTTTCTGGTTTCTGAGTCATACAAGTTAGAAACTGGGCAGTTATCCGTGTTCTCTTCTCTTACCTTGACACTCTACTGCAATGGTACAGAAACTGCATTTTGTCCCACAGCAATATAACAACTGAAGTGGTTATATTTACTACATTTTCTATTTTTAAAAGAGAAAACCGAGCCTAGAGGATACCTGCTTATAACATCAACCCTAACATGAAATAAGTGTGATTGGTAACAGTTTCAGGGGGAGTAAATCAAGTGTCAGCTTCTAGAAACTTGGAAGACCATACAGGATCTGTGGCTAAGCTAATATGTGGTAGGAAAAAAGAGGAAGTAGAATGAACAAAGGCAAAAGTGTTAGAAGCAGCCTGATGTAATAGTAGTTAATATGTCTTAGGAACTTGTCTAAGCACACATGTAGTAACTCATCCAAATAATCTTACAAGATAGTGGCTATTGTACCTATTTCCCATTTGAGGAAACAGAGGCAAATATTTGAGAGCTGGGATTCACATCTAAGCAGCCTGGCTTCGGGGACTATGATAAGCATTATGACACAGTGTGTAACCATTTTGTTACACACTGTAACAAAATCTTAAAGTAAATTGAAAAACAGAAAACTAGAAGATGAAGCAGGGACCAGATCACAGACAGATTTTTATGCCAAGATGAAGATACAGATTTCTGCCTCTCAGGTGATGACGAAGCTTTTAAAAAAGAGAGTGAGACTGTATTTTAGATCATCCTGGCAGCTACTGGAGAGAAAGAACAAGAGAATGTTAGACAAATAGGGTAAATGATGTAAGAGGTGGTGGGCCAGGTGTAGTGGCTCACGCTTGTAATCACAGAACTTTGGGAGGCCGAGGCGGGTGGATCACTTGAGGTCAAGAGGTCGAGACCAGCCTGGCCAACATGGTGAAACCCCATCTCTACTAAAAATACAAAAATAAGCCGGACATGGTGGCGCACCCCTGTAATCCCACATACTTGGGAGTCAAGAGAATCGCTTGAACCTGGGAGGTGGAGGTTGCAGTGAGCCAAGATCACATCACTGTACTTCAGCCTGAGTGACAAAGCAAGACTTTTTCTTGAAAAAAAAAAAAAAAAAAAAAAAGGAAGAAATGGTGATTGGTTGGATATGGGAAATAAAGGAAAAATTTAAGGTTAACTTCTGATTTCACATTATTGAATACTACCCACCGAATGAAGATCTGCTTAGGGAAAAGATAAAAGGTTCTGACTTGGACATGCCTCCTTCAAGGTTCCTAGATCATATTTTAGTGAATATATCCTGCATGAAACTCATGGATAATGTCTAGATTGGAGAAAAAGGAGAAAAATAATCAGATCACCCAAAGTGTGCAGAATAAGTAAAGTTGTGGACCAAGGATTAAAACCTTGGGGAATTTTAACATCAAGAATGAAAGTACACACGGGAAAAGATTTTAAGCTTCATGAAGGTGGATTTTTGTTCATTTTATTTACTGTTATGTTGTTTACTGTTATGTTTCCACCTGCTCTTACTATATAGTAGTGTGTCCGGAATTGGTGGGTTCTTGGTCTTGCTGACTTAAAGAATGAAGCTGTGGGCTGGGCGCGGTGGCTCAAGCCTGTAATCCCAGCACTTTGGGAGGCCGAGACGGGCGGATCACGAGGTCAGGAGATCGAGACCAATCCCTGGCGAACACGTGGAAACCCGTCTCTACTAAAAAATACAAAAAACTAGCGGGCGAGTCGGCGGGCGCCCCTGTAGTCCCCAGCTACTCGGGATGCCTGAGGCAGGAGACATGGGAAGTAACCGCGGGGGCGTGAGCTTGCAGTGAGCTGAATCCCCGGCCACTGCACTGCACTCCAGCCCGGGGCGACAGAGCGCCTCTGTCTCAAAAAAAAAAAAAAAAAAAAAAAAAAAAAAAAAAAGAATGAAGCTGTGGGCCCTCATGGTGAGTGTTACAGTTCTTAAACATGACGTGTCCAGAGTTTGTTCCTTCAGATGTTCAGATGTGTCTGGAGCCTCTTCCTTCTGGTGGGTTTGTGGTCTTGCTGACAGGAGTGAAGCTGCAGACCTTTGTGGTGAGTTAAAGCTCATAAAGGCGGCGTGGACCCAAAGAATGAGCAGCAGCAAGATTTAATCATAAAGAGCAAAATAAATAAATAAATAAATAAAACTTCCACAGTGTGGAAAGTTATCCTAGCAGGTTACCATTGCTGGCTTGGCAGTCTGCCTTTTATTCCCTTATCTGACCCCATCTACATCCTGCTGATTGGTCCATTTTACAGAGAGCTGATTGGTCCATTTTACAGAGAGCTAATTGGTCCATTTTATAGAGAGCTGATTGGCCCATTTTGACAGAGTGCTGATTGTTGAATTTACAATCCCTGAGCTAGACATAGTGTGCTGATTGGTGCTGATTGGTGCCTTTACAATCCTTTAGCTAGACACAGAGTGCTAGACAGAAAAGTTCTCCATGTCCCCACTAGGTTAGCTAGATACAGAGTACTGATTGGTGTATTTACAAACCTTGGGCTAGACACAGAGTGTTGACTGGTGTATTTACAAACCTTGAGCTAGACACAGAGTGCTGATTGGTGTGTTTACAATCCTTTAGCTAGACACAGAGTGCTAAATAGAAAAATTCTCCAAGTCCCCACTAGACCCCAGAGCCCAGCTGGCTTCACCTAGTGGATCCCGCACCAGGGCTGAAGGTGGAACTGCCCCCTAGTCCGGCGCCGAGCGCCCGCACTCCAAGCGCCCGCACTCCTCAGCCCTTGGGCGGTCCACGGGACAGGGCGCCTCGGTGCAGGGGGTGGCGCTCCTAGGTAGGAGCCTACAGCCCATGAGGAGGAGGGAAGAGGCTCGGGCATGGTGGGCTGCAGGTCCTGAGCCCTGCCCTGTGGGGAGGCTACTGAGGCCTGGCGAGAATTCGAGCACAGCGCTGGCGGGCCAGCACTGCTGGGGGACCTGGCACACCCTCTGCAGCTGCTGGCCCGGGTGCTAAGCCCCTTGCTGCCCCTGGTCAGCGGCGCTGGCGCCGGCCCGCCAATCTGAGTGCGGGGCCGGCAGAGCCCGCGCCCACCCGGAACTCCTGCTGGCCAGCGAGCGCCTTCGCAGCCTTGGTTCCCGCCTGTGCAGCCTTGGTTCCCGCCTGCGCCTCTGCCCCCACACCGTCCCGCAAGCAGAGGGAGTCGGCTTCAGCCTCAGTCAGCCCAGAGAGGGGCTCTCACAGTGCAGCGGCAGGCTGAAGGGCTCCTCCAGCGCGGCCAGAGTGGGCGCTGAGGCCGAGGAGGTGCCCAGAGCCAGCGAGGGCTGCCAGCACGCTGTCACCTCTCAGTAGGTACTATATAACTATTTCTCGAATGAATAAACTTTAATTTGAGAAATAGGCTGAAGAAGAAGAACCCATACAGGATGTAAAAACGAGATGATCAGAGATGGGCAAAAGGAACTAAACATCAAGGAAGTTAGAGTGAGTGAGATAAGATACTGACTACAACTTGCTAATTAGGTCTGGCAATTAGGAGGTTATAGGGACCTTAGTAAGTACAATTTTGGTGGATGGTAAGGCTGGAAGTTAGACTGTAGTAGACTACAGATTGGGTAGGAGCTGAGGAAATGGACAATAGCAAGTACATATAGTCTGTTCAAAGTTTGGATGAAAAGAGGAGGAAGGAAACTTGTAACTAGAAGAGGATGTGGATTAAAAGAGGAAATGCTTTAGGCCTGGAAAGACTTGAGCAAGTTTATAAGCTGAGTGAAGGTCACAAAAGAGAAAGGCCACAGATACGAGAGGGATGGAGTCAGGAGCACAGATGGATTTATTAATCTTACACAGTTCATTTATTTATTATTGTCATTACTAGTTTTTGAGATGGAGTTTCACTCTTATTGCCCAGGCTGGAGTGCAATGGTGTGATCTTGGCTCACCGCAACCTCTGCCTCCCGGGTTCAAGCGATTCTCCTGTCTCAGCCTTCTGAGTAGCTGGGATTACAGGTGCATGCCACCACACCCAAATAATTTTTGTATTTTTAGTAGAGACGGAGTTTCATATTGGTGAGGCTGGTCTCGAACTCCTGACCTCAGGTGATCTGCCCACCTCAGCCTACCAAAGTGCACATTTCATTTATTAATTAAAATAATCTACTGTTCTCTTGGCTAAGTCATTAGGGTTACTGTGGTGAGCAAGGACATAGCTCTACCCTCAATAAGTAGGATAATAGAGGACACATCAGTTATTCAAACAAATCTGTAATTATGAAGGAAGAATACATAGTGTCGTGATGTTGTGATCTACTCTAGGGGCAAAGATTTGT